TTTTAAGTCTTTAATTTAATTTAATTTAATTTAATTAAGTTATTTTAAGTTTTATTTGATAGTGTTATTTTTATCGCTCAATTGGAAGTAAACAAAGTCAAAATTGACATGATTGGAAAATTGTTCATTCTATAAGAGTTCGGAAAAATTTAAATATCAGCATCAGGAACAAATCAATAAAAATCGATTTATAATTAAATTTAGAGTAGAAACAGTAGGAAAATGACACTTCTATAATACTCGAAAAATGCATTAATAGGTTTCAGGTAGTTTTAGTTAACATATTAAGTAACATAACACAGAAAATATGTTTCAAACAAACTGTTAACGAAAAATATACACAAAAGTAATTTTTTTAGAATTTATGTCATATAATAAAAGAAGTAGTTAATAGAATAAGAATAAAAAAAATTAATAAAAGAGTGGCATATAATAAAAAAGTAACGCTCATGCGTAACATAGAAGAAAGCCTGGTCCCACGTGACGTCACGTAGATACGTCACGTAAACGTGCCTCGTCGGGAAGTTACGTCTTCTTATCTTCTTAGCATCCGCTCTACTGCATACGTACGTCAACGGGACTAACACTGCCCGTCTGTTGATAAATAACGGGTTACGATATAACTCTCCAGTGGCCCGTTAATTGAAAAATAACGGGCTACAATAAAACTCTCTAGCGGCCCGTTAATTGATAAATAACGGGTGCGATGTAACCCTCCAGTGCCCGTTCATTGATAAATAACGGGTTACAATATAACCCTGCAACATGGGTTGTTAATTTGAATCTAACGGTCAACAACGTAACAATCATTTTGGCTTTCAATTAAAAAGTAAATTGTTAAAATGTTGAACCCGTTACTTGAGAACCCGTTATTTAAAAATTTACAGATATTATTAAAGCAATGAAACCGTTAGTTACGAGTTATTTATCCATATTAATGCAACGAACATCATGTATGGCGTGCCATAATTTTTATGTGAGAAGTTGCAGCCTGCTCTCGTTTGCCATACGGACAATAAATATTTTAAAATAATATTTTTCTATTTGAAAAAATATTCAGATACTTCAAGGTAGAAATACTCGTGAGTTTTTAAAAGAATATATTCCGAAAAATTTTCATGTACGGAGCTTGCTATACAATATTCGAAGATTCTCAAATTGCATTTTATATGGAGGAAGAGACAGAAATTTGACAACATTTTGCGGTCAATCTACTTTATCAATTTACTCAACCAATCTACTTTATGTTGGTAGCGAAATATTATTTTATAGCTTTCCAGGGCAAAAGGAAGTCCCTTATCACTTGACTGAATCATAGGTAAACAAAGCTGCTTCTCAAGTTTAATAAAACACACTCGCCGATTACGGAATACTACGAAATGATGTTTACAATGAAGAGAATGGATAGAATATAGAATGAATATATGAGTAAGACTAGAATATAAAATTGGTACAATATAGGCAACGTTTGACCAAATAATTATGCAAATTTCTTGCATGAAACTCTTAGCCGTTCAATTTATTTTTTGTTTTTGTGTCGTTTTGCAGATCCTCAGTTCAGAAGTCAATTTTCAAAATCCATACAAAAAATGATCAATTCTCACGAAATCCAATCATTATTATCCGGTTTCTCATCGGCGCCCTTGAGTTCAATTTTTTTTTTGTTTTTGTGTCGTTTTGCAGATCCTCAGTTCAGAAGTAAATTTTCAAGATCCATTCAAAAAAGACTAAATTCTCTCAATATCCAATCACTGTTATCCGGCTGCTCATCGGCGCCTTTATCAGCTATTTAACGTGTCATTCCATCGCAACGTTGCGCGTCGAAATCAAGGAGCGTTTCTTCCAACTTGGTTCGCAGTTTCCTTAACTCCTGCATGGCGGAGTCTAGTCTAGCTTATGCAGTGGCCTCTTCATATTAACTTTGCTATAAAACTCTACGACGAAAAAGCAATTGATTTTCCTCTTCTATGCGACGCAGTTTTTTAGCAGCGCACTCTAGATGAATTTACAGTTATTGTATAAGGTCTTCGAGATTATTTGTGGCCATTATGATAGGTAATCGTCTTGTCTTTCTGTAGAACTGCAAACTTTGGCAGCAAAATTTCATTTCTAAACTTCGGTGTTGATTGAAGTTTTCGTCGCAGGTATCCTAGGTACGAAGGAAAATTCTAATATTATAATTTACTGAAAGGTACTTTATTTTAACTGATAAGGTATATACATTTTTAAATCCGAAATCTCTTTTCCTATGTAATAGTATATTGGGTGGAAATACGAAAATGTCAATTACACCTTGGCATTTATATAAGACAATTTAGATAAGTACCTATGTAGGTATATGAGCAACATTAAATAATAAATTACAATAATGAATTAGTAATCCAATGAACCAAAATCTGCTTCCTCTCCTCATCAAATAGGTGAACATATAAAAATCTTGTGAACATATTTTATTTGTTATAGTTGTGATTTTCTTATGAATATTTCTAATTATTTTTTCCAAGTTGCAAACTGGTGTAAATTGAGTATTATTTGGCAAGGCAAAGCATACGTAGCTGCTCTATCTTCAATTATCATTTGCGACCTCAATTCATATTGATATAGTATACGCTAATCATTAGCGTATATTATACCGATAGTGAATATGGGTGTAGTGGGTATACATATATTCATTCGATATATACCCGATGGGTATATTGAAAATACCCATTAGCGGCTAATGGGTATTTTCACTTCATTATAAACTGAAATAATTGGTTATTTTCACTAACATTATACTTATACGCCCTTTTGCCGGGCCAAACTGGGTCGGGGTGAGCCATACAAAGGCAAAAAGTGGGTCGGGATGACCCACTCATAGGCAAAAAGTGGGTCGGGATGACCCACTCATAGGCAAAAACTGGGTCGGGATGACCCACTCATAGCCAAAAAGTGGGTCGGGATGACCTACTCATAGGCAAAAAGTGGGTCGGGATGACCCACTCATAGGCAAAAATCAGCTGCTATATATCTCACTAAAGTCACTATATACTAGACTTCAGCTGCTATATATATCTCACTAAAGTCACTATATACTAGACTTCAGCTGCTAAATATCTCACTAAAGTCACTATATATTAAACTTCAGCTGCTATATATGTCACTAAAGTCACTATATACTAGACTTCAGTTGCTATATATCTCACTATAATCACTATATACTAGAATTCAGTTGCTATATATCTCACTAAAGTCACTATATACTAGAATTCAGCTGCTATATATCTCACTAAAGTCACTATATACTAGACTTCAGCTGCTATATATCTCACTAAATCTCATCAATGTGCGCGTGTTCTAGGAAGTCGCTTCGAGTTCTGCAAGACGAACAAAAGAAGGTTTGGTCTTCCCAGAACTTGTCTTTATCAACCGGGTGTTACATCGCCCATTCAAGACCCACGCAATCAATGCGCAATCTTATTCGCTCATTGAAATGAACAGAACGCTACTCCCTTCTTCCGAGAAAGATTAAAAGAATTCAAATGAATTTTAATGGAATGATCCCCGGCATTGCCATTAACTTGATCCATCGATTATGAGTATAGACGTCGCCTGAACAACGCATTCTTGTTGAGATCAACGTGTTATACGCAGAAAAAATGTGATCATCAACAGGCTCTGTTATGGCTCAGCTTCCCAAAAACAGGCGCACCTTGAGGGCTAAAATGTGTAAACAGGCGTTAACTTTGTTAGCGGGTAGGCATTTTTCAATGGGTTGAGTGTTACCCTATATTTAGTTTGTTTATTATGGACCTATTTAATGGATTGAAAACTACCGTATTTGATGGGTAATTGTTACCCTATTTGATAGGATGAATGTGACCCCGACCCCTTTTTAATGGGTTGAACGTTACCTTATATTTAGTTAGTTTAATATTGCCCTATTTAATGGGATAATTGTTACCCTATTTCATAGGATGAATGTGACCTGATATAATGGGTTGAATATGACGTATTTAACTGCCGGTCGTGTAGTTTAGAATTCATTTGGTAAATACTGTCCCATGTTCCTAAATTTCTTGATATATAGTAATATTTTACAGCATATTTTTAAAATAAAAAAATTTAAACTTTAAATATTTCAAATTTTTTTTAAAAACGTATGTACAGTTCTTATCCGCACGAATTTGTTAATCGATAAGACTTTACACCAGGTTATTCGGTTCTTCGGTTTTAATTGCATTCTTGGTAATCTTGGTTCTTCTATTTATTTATTCATTTTTCGATTGTTTATTGAATTTTATTCTATATACTCTCTAATTGAATGAATGATGGAGCTGCCCTGAAGCAAGATTGGAAACTTTTCTTTGCTTTTAATTATTAATTTAAACATATAAATAAACAAACATAAACATATAAACAGCAGCGGAATAAACCGCTGCTGTGGTAATATAAATATAGATAATTATCAACAATTGCATTCTACTTATCGAAAACGAAATAAACAATTTGCTGTAGAAAAATCAACATCTGTCCACTGTTTTCAAACAACCTTTAAAGTAAAAACAATTTAGTTTTATATATATATGCATGTATGATGTGTTATATTTGTATGATATGTATGAATGAATATGAAGGCGCTGTGCAGTGTAGACAATTTGTATTTTTTGGTATATGTTAAAATGCACCACGTTCATATAATACATGATGATATTGTTTGATAAACGCTATGAATTTGACCTCATGAGCTTCTATCGCTAAATATAATTATCAAATTATATTATCTTAATATAATTATTATTATATTATCTTATATTATATTAATTATATTATTATAAATTATATTATCTTTAACTATTAGTCAAAATAATACTTAAACTATCAGTCAAAACGTTCTCCAAGTGCCCTGAAGAATTACAATTTTTCATGATTAGTCATGTTATTTTTAGCTTACATACTTAATGAAATTAATTTTGTGATCAGTTTACAGGAAAATAACCGCCCTTTTTAATCCCACAGAATCGCATAAGTTTGCATATTGTGCTAGATGGTAATTGTGATATTGAGTTATCTGTCCAATTATCAAGAATTAATTGTGATATCAAGACTGTCCGAATATCAATAATTGATGCACAAGTAAATAATGTCGTTGAAGAGTGAGTGATTATGTTTCGAAGTAAACAATATAATCCGAAGAATTTTTAGTTATTAATATATTCTAATGCTAACGGATTACATTGACTGTACTGTTGTTATGCAAATTGCAGTAGCAATTTTCTATGAAATCAAACGGTGAATTGACACTTTCCCAGTGCAATTGCGAAAAAATTAGAAAAAGATCTGAAAACTGACGCTGATTTTATTTAAAACCTCGTTCGACAAAAGAAAACACTCACAATGTCACCCTAAGCCAGCGAAGATACTCGCGATGTCACCCTAAACACTTGAAGATACGCACGATGTCGCCCTAAACAAGTGATGATATGCACGAAGTCACCATAAACAAATGAAGAACAGAAGATACTCCCTATGTTACCCTAAACACGCGATGATGTTCCCTAAGTTACCCTAAACACATGATCCACTCTCGACGGTACCCTAATTACGCCAAGATACTCCAGGTGTCACCCTAAACACGTGAATGTACTCCTGATGTCACTCTAAATCAATATTGAAATTGCAGAAGTTACCCTAAGCGCGTAAAGATTATCAACACTTTTCCTTAAAAGAGCCATAGTTCCCCAGTGTTCCTCTCATTAGGCGAAGATCCCAATTAAGGAATATCTCCCTGAAAAAAAAATTTCCTTGATTTACCCTACCCAAGCGGTTCTATCCCTAAAAGTTAATGCCATCATGTAATTATCCCCTATAATTTTCCAAGAAAACATAAATATTACCAGAATTTCCTTAGTCCTCCTCAAAGTCACCCAGCCTATAGGTTAGAACTTCTTAAAGTCACCCTGCACACAGGTCAGGTCTCCTCAAAGTCACCTTGCACCCAGTTTAGTTTCCTCAAAATCACCCTTCAAGCAAGGATCGGATTCCTATAAGTCACTTTACACACTGGTTAGGACTCCTCTCCAAGTCACCCTAGTTAACCTACCACTCCCGAAAGTCCCCCGACCACAATCCCGACAAAATGCTGGGTATCCTGGACATCATTCTGCTAGCAGCATCCCTGCTGGTCACCCTAGCCATAGGGGTGTACCACGGGGTGAAGGGGAGGAAAGCCACCCCTGCCGAGTACATGTTAGGGGGAAGAGCCATGTCCCCACTTCCCCTGGCCATGTCTATGATGGTGGGCACCATTTCCCCCATCACCATCATGGGCAACATCGGGGAAATGTATGCCTATGGTACGCAGCTGTGGATCATGGATGTTGGGCTGGCGCTGGGCATGGTCGTCGTGGCAGAAATGTTCATACCCATCTTCTACCCCATGCACATGGTCAGCTTGTACCAGGTGGGTAGACGTGAGAGGTGGTAGACGTGAGAGGTGGGTAGACGTGAGAAGTGGGTAGACGTGAGAGGTGGGTAGTCGTAGGAGGTGGGTAGAGGTGAGAGGTGGTAGACGTGAGAGGTGGGTAGACGTGAGAGGTGGGTAGACGTGAGAGGTGGGTAGACGTGAGAGGTGGGTAGACGTGAGAGGTGGTAGACGTGAGAGGTGGGTAGACGTGAGAGGTGGGTAGACGTGAGAGATGGGTAGACGTGAGAGGTGGGTAGACGTGTGAGGTGGGTAGACGTGAGAGATGGGTAGACGTGAGAGTTGGGTAGACGTGAGAGATGGGTAGACGTGAGAGGTGGGTAGACGTGAGAGGTGGTGTAAAATTACAGATGGATTAATTGACTGTAATGGCCCACTAAGGGCACTTGGTTTTCTTTGTGCCTCGAATCTTACTTACTTAGTAGCACTCTGAACGTTCAGTACCCTAGTAACAGCATCCTATATGTGCAGTACACTATTAGTATAACTCTCTACGTTCAGTACACTACTATGTACTATCACTCTATACGTTCAGTACACTACTAATATCACTCTGTAAGTTCGGTACACTACTACTACTATCACTTTGTACGTTCAGTAAACTTCTAATATGACTCTATTAGTTCAGTACACTAACAACATTCTATATGTGCAGTACACTTCTAATATCACTCTGTACGTTCAGTACACTACTACTATCACTCTGTACGTTCAGTACACTACTAACAACATCCTATATGTTGCAGTACACCACTACTATCACTCTGTACTTCAGTACACTACTAACAACATCCCATATGTGCAGTACCCTTCTAGTATCACACTGTTCGTTCAGTACACCATTACATTCCATGTGCAGTACATCGAGCAGCGGTTCAGGTCGAAGGTGTTGCGGTTGTCCTCCGTCCTGATCACGCTGCTCGCAGCTTACCTGTTCAGTACACTACTAACAGCATTCTATATGTTACAGTACACTACTACTATCACTCAGTACGTATAGTACACCATCACATTCCATGTGCAGTACATCGAGCAGCGGTTCAGGTCGAAGGTGTTGCGGTTGTCCTCCGTCCTGATCACGCTGCTCGCAGCATACCTGTTCATCGGGTTCCTGTTGTACCCGCCGTCTACGTTCCTCGTCCACTTCACGGGGCTCGGCATCATCCCAAACATCGTCATCATGGGGCTCGTCTGCGGCCTATACTCGGCCTTTGTGAGTCATGGGGAGTGTGAGGTATTGCTGAGGTATGTGAGTTATGAGGCATGCGGTATGTGAGGTATCTGGGGCATGTAAGGTATTCGTGGGGTATGTGAGTTATGAGGCATGCGGTGTTTTGCTTGAGTTTTGAGGCATGCGGTGTTGCTTGAGTTTTGAGGCATCGTAAGCCGTTGGCGTGTGTGAAAATTCAATCAATGTTCTATTCAATATGATAATTAATGTATTATGCAATGTGTTATTTATTATATTATTCGATGTATTATTTATTATTATTCAAGGTATTTTTAGTCATGTCGTAAATATCTTTCACGTTCTTAGCGCTAACGGCTTTTCCACTTGCAATTCAATGTGTCTATTCATCATTCATCACTTTTCGCCCGTTCGCATGATCACCATTCACGACATAATTTGATGTTCCTCAGGGAGGTGTGAAGGCGGTGGTGCACACAGACGTGGTGCAGAGCATGGTGATGCTGGTTGGTGTGCTGGCTATTGTGGTGCAGTGCACCATCAGAGTGGGAGGTCTGGAGAGTGCCTGGAGCATCGCTTCCGAGCGCGGCAGGATCGAGTTGACAAGTAGTATAGAGTAAAGCTCAACAAGAGATATAAGAACAAATAAGTAGAATTACGAAGAGTTTAGCAGGTTGAAGCTCTTAACATACACGCGACTGAAATCCTAAAGTTTGAGGTGTCGAAGATTCGCATTCACATGGCTACATTCAAAGGAATATATTCAAATTATGAAATTCAAATGATTGCATTCAAATTATAACATTCAAATCATTATATTTTAATCGTCACATTGAAATGGCTACATTCAAATGATTACATTGCAAGGATTGTATTAAAATGGCTACATTAAAACGGCTACATTCAAATGATTACATTAAAATTATACCGTTCATATATTTATATTAAAATCGTTCCATTAAAATGATTACACTTAAAATGGCCATGTTATAATGATTACATTAAATTGGCTACATTCAAATGATTGCGTTAGAATTGTTTCACTTAAAATGGTTACATCAAAATGGTTACATTAAAATCATTACATTTAAAATGGTGACATCAAAATTGTTACATTAAAATCATTTCACTTAAAATGGTTACATTCAAATGGTTACATTAAAATCGTTACCTTTACAATGGTTACATTAAAATCGTTACACTTAAAATGGCTACACATCAAACTGGCTACATTAAAATCGTTATACTTAAAATGGTTACATCAAAATGGTTACATTAAAATCGTTGCACTTAAAATGGCTACATTAAAATAGTTACATTAAAATCGTTACACTTAGAATGGTTACATCAAAATTGTTACATTAAAATCGTTTCACTTAAAATGGTCACATCAAAATTGTTACATTAAAATCGTTATACTTAAAATGGTCACATAAAAATGATTACAATAATATGATTACATTACAAAGGTTACAGATAATTTGCTTCACTCTACAGCATGAGCCTGGACCCTTACCAGCGGCACAGCTTCTGGCTCACGCTCGTGTTTGGGTTCTTCTTCAGCCTGAGCACCTACGGTGTGAACCAGAGCCAGACACAGCGAACCTTTAGCACCGGTTCAGTACAGCACGCAAAGAGGTAAACATCTTCGGTTTTTGTTTATATAACTTTTACTCCTCCATTCCTCAAGGTATGGTTACTATGCCATATTCAGATTTTTCCTTAAATAATGTTAACTCTTCAATTCCTCAGGGTGACTTACTACGCAAAATTTTAGCATTTGTTTCAATAACTCATACTCCTCTATTCCTCATGGTAATCTATAGCGTCATATTCATTTTTTTAATAATATCAGCTGATTGATTCCCCAGAGTGATCATATATATTCAATTATTATTCAAATAAATGATACTCCTCTAGCCCTCAGGGTTATGCACTTCGCCATATTCATTTTTTCGTATACTTTTTTTTTTCAAATAATATCAACTCATCAATTCCTTAGGGTTATCTTATGTATTAATTTTTTATTCAAATAAATGATACCCTCCTAACCGTCAGAGTGATATACTACGCCATATTCATTATTTTTTTAATAATATCAACTCATCAATTCCTCAGGATGATCATATATATTAAATTTTTATTCAAATAAATAATACTCCCCTAACCCTCAGAGCGATTATATATATTAATTTTTATTCAAATAAATGATACCCCCCTAACCCTCAGGATGATCATATATATTAATTTTTATATTCAAATAAATGATACCCCCCTCACCCTCAGGATCATCATACATATTAAATTTTATATTCAAAAAAATGATACCCCCCTAACCCTCAGTTCGATATACTACGCCATACTCATTTTTTTCAAATAATGTCAACTCGTCAATTCCTTAGGGTTATCTTACATATTAAATTTTTTATTTAAATAAATGATACCCCCTAACCCTCAGGATAATCATATATATTAATTTTTATATTCAAATAAATGACACCCCCTAACCCTCAGGGTGATATACTACGCCATATTCGGCATGCTGCTGCTGCGGTTCCTTATCAACCTGGCGGGGGTTGTGATCTTCGCGTTCTACGCAGACTGCGACCCGCTGACTATGGGTGGTGTGGTTAAAAGCAACCTACGCATTGTGGTTGTTTACGTCCTACAGGACCTCACGTCCATTCCCGGCCTCGCAGGACTTTTTGTTGCGTCTATTTACGCAGCTGTCTTAAGGTTAGTAATTAATTTAATTACGGATTTATTTTAGATTAGGGGAATTTTCCTTAAATGCTGTTGTTGATTTTAAATTCGAGTATTAACCATGGATGTGTCGTGAGCTTCGGTCCTAAGGAACATCGGGACATTATAAGAGCATTTATTAATTCTAAGGAGTTTCGGGACATTCGAATAAACCTCGAACTTTTTCTTTCGCTACATTTTTTCCATACGTAAAAACCATAATACTGTTTTATTATAATTATGAGCAAGTGTCTTAGAATCTATTCTACGTAAATTTGCAAGGCTATCGATACTGCATGGCTCTTGTTTCCGTGCGCTCTGAAAAAAACCAAAAAACCAAAAAACCAAATTCTGAACATTCATAAATTTAAGGTGTGTTTCAGTGTGAGTTCAATGACAACCTGAGATTAAAATGTAAGTTACAGATCATGTTGATTTATCCAGAAGTTAGTTAAATGCTGGTTTTAAACCCCGTAGATTTTTGATGAATGAGTTAGGTGTCCATATTGCGATGCACCGTTATGTCCGTGTGTCAGTCAGCGTGACTTAGTTTGGTCTAATAAAAAGGCGTGTCAGTGATAATGGAAGGAAGTTTATTACAATTTTGACAAAATGAATCCTGCATGTTTCTATTTATGCTTTAAGCTGAATTTTATCAAACTTTACTTCGGAATAACATGAAATTCTTACAATCCTAGAGCGTATGTTATTATCTTACCTTATATTGTAATATACGCAATTGTAGAAGAATCTTTACTTCAGTTCTTTCACGATTACAATTATCTCTATGTCATCCTAATCTGTTTTTTAAAGTATATGTAATGACATTAATGTGCGTTTTTTCATACCCACAGTTCGGTGTCGACACAGGTTAACTCAATGACAGCTTTGCTCTGGGAAGATTTCCTTAAAAACTTGAAAGTTTTTGAGACTTGGAGTGAAGTGACCATAACTTACCTGCAAAAACTCTTAGGTGAGTGGCGGTAATTATTTTTATGTTAATTTTGCTTTCGATACTTTTTTGCGGGTTAATTTTTTTTGGCTTTTGGTAATTTAATTTTGACAAAAACTCACTCTGAAGAAAACCCAGTGCGTGACTATACATCGTTAGATTTTTATCTGATAGACTTTGATTTCATGAATAAGCGATTATTGTGTTGAAATAAATTGCATACACGACCGAAAACTACACTATTATTTTTTTTTTTTTTTTGCTTTGGTATATTGAGCAACATTGCACTGAAAACTTTATGATAAAACTTCTCCTTAATCAATCATAAAATGATTGCATATCTGAAGGTATTAATGATCAAAATTTTTGATTTACGCCTCATTTCTTTGACGGTGATAAATAATTTCCAGTCTTTCTGACCGGGGTCATCGGGATCGTGATGAGCCTAATAGCCACTAACAGCCCAGCCTTCATCTCGAGGCTGTTCCGTCTGACTGGGGCTATTTCTGGGCCCATGGTGGGGCTGTTCCTGACCGGCCTTTATTTGCCTTGGGTCAAGGGCAAGGTAAGGCCATGAGCCTTAGGTCAAGGGCAAGGTAAGGCCATGAGCCTTAGGTCAAGGGCAAGGTAAGGCCATGAGCCTTAGGTCAAGAGCAAAGTAAGGCCATGATTTGCCTTGGGTCAAGGGCAAGGTAAGCCCATGAGCCTTAGGTCAAGAGCAAAGTAAGGCCATGATTTGCCTTGGGTCAAGGGCAAGGTAAGACCATGAGCCTTTGGTTAAGGGCAAGGTAAGGCCATGATTTGCCTTGGGTCAAGGGCAAGGTAAGGCCACGATGCTCAGACATGACCTTAGGTCAATGTTAAGGTAAGGCTGCGTGACTCAGACATGACCTTAGGTCAAGTCAAGGTAAAGCCAAAATACTCAGACATGACCTTACTTTGCGCCTCAGACACAGCAAATGTGCTTATGCAAGCCAAAAATTCCGCAAAAGTCATTTTCATTTCTCATGAATGACTTTAATAATAACCTCTATTTATCATGCTTGAATTTGCACAAGTCTAACTCTTTAAAGGTCTACCTCTGTTTTCCTAAAACATTTACTGTAATATCATAATGGTGACTTTTCTTATTGAAAAATATTTTCAAACCCGTTTATTAGCGGGTGGTGGACCTGCAGTATTAGACCGTTTTAAATAATATAATAGCGTTAATAATTAAAAATAATTTTAATAATAAAATATATTTATATTCAGAGCGCAGGGTTCGGGTTCCTACTGTCGATCGTGTTCAGCCTCTGGATCGTGACGGGTCAACTTCTGACCCGCACAGACCCTCCATACTTACCCATGTCCCACACCAACTGCACCACCACAACCACAACCAACACCACCACAACCACCACTACGGCTTCTGTCATCAACACGAGCCTCACCACAGCAATGCCTGACATCACATCGGTATCCTCGGATGGTGAAATTGATGATAATCACAAGTAAGAGTTCTTCCGTTAACGTTACTCATATGTTAAAATGATTATGTTACCTATATGAGATATATGTTACCTATAATAATGCTGTCCTAAAAGTATATATAGCACAGTACAAAAGTTATTTTTTTAGTTATCGTTATGTTAAAGTTGATGCAAACTCTTATATGACCAATGATTTCACTGCCTCCCTTGCTAACTTATTTTTTATGAATATAAGCTCGAAAAATAGACGATAACGTACCAATAGGCCCATGAACCTCTTTTCATCACCCATGAACGTCCCCCTTTGCTTTTGCCTCTCTCTTGCTTGCACTCTTCGCACGTTTTACTCCTCTCCAAGCAAAGTAGCCATCCCCTTTCCTCTATTGCTTTCATCATTTCCCGCATTCCTCCTTCTCTGCCTTCCAGTGCTTCCTTTCCACTTCATTCCTCATCATTTTAAACCCTTTATTGTCTCCTCTTCACTTCGACCTTCATTCATCACCTCTTATTGCCACTTCTTCACTTCATTCCCCTTCATTCTCCAGCCTTTATTAGCTCCTTTTCTTTTCATTCCACTCTTCACCAACCTCCCTCGCCCTCGCCCATGCCTCACCAACCTCTTTCACATTATTCCTCTGCACATCGTTTCTTCTCTGCCCTTCATTCCTCGGCCCTCTTCACATCTTTGCTACTCCTCTCCTCACTAGCTCCCTCTCATCCCCACATTTCAGTCCCCAAGAAGGCATGGCAGCGCTCTACGGCCTCTCCTACTGCCTCAACTACTGCTGGGGCTCCATCGCCTGCTTGGTGCTGGCCGCTCTCGCCTCCCTACTTGCAGGTTGGGGATGAAGGCATCCTTAAGAGGAATGCTGTGAGGCCATCAGGAGAGAGTTTTGGGCCTCCCTAGTTGCAGGTTGGAGAAGAAGGCATCCTTGAGAGGAATGCTGTGAGGCCGTCAGGAGAGAGTTTTGGGCCTCCCTAGTTGCAGGTTGGGACGAGGGCATCCTTAAGAGGAATGCTGTGAGGCCATCAGGAGAGAGTTTTGGGCCTCCCTAGTTGCTGGTTGGGGGACGAAGGCAGAGAATGCAGTGAGGTAGTGGGCCATCAGCAGAGAGTGTTGGGCCTCCCTAGTTGCAGGTTGGGGGATGAAGGCATCCTTAAGAAGAATGCTATGGGGCCATCATGAGAGAGTTTCGGGGAGGTACAGGCTTGAGGGGGGTGCAGGGTTCAAGAGGGAATGCAGTGACGCATACGCCCTCAAGGGGAAGTCTGCAGAGGTTGAGGCATGTTTGCCGGTGCCATGATGCATGATGTCATGAGTATAGTTACGGTGTGGAAAATTTCAGGTTTTGGGGTTGTCGTATGATAAACTTGCGCCCTATAAAATATCTTGAAGAAGTTCAAGTATCGATTGAACAATGTATTTTCAATAATACAGGCCCTATTTTGATACCATGACGCTATAAATCAATGATCAATATCGTGAATGTTTTTTTTTCTTAGGAGTGACACACGAGGCAGTGAGTGCCAGATATTTCACATTCGCGAGGTTGTAATACATTGTTCCCGAATGAAGGCCATGTTTTTTTTTAATAGCCTGTACTAGTGTCCATTTGTATGAATATTTCCGTTTACCTATTGTAAAACATTTCATTCGTTACAGGCTGGAACACACCGGACACAATAGATGAAAGACTCATAGCCCCAACGGCGTGGAAAATCTTTAAAAAACTACCGCCGCCGTCATATGAACCTCCGCTGCAAAAACTAGCGCGGCTCATCTCCCCACACGCGGATTCCTACGCCACGAATTCTAGCGCCGACCGCTCGCCTAAAGAACAAGATGGCCGCCAGTCCCGTCTTGATGGCCACCTTCTTCAAGATGGTCATGATGGAACATTTCATGCTAAATCAGAAGAGATAGTACCTATGATGAAAATCACATAGTTGTGCAAATTATTCCTACATTATTAACTCATTCATAAACCGTAAAAATAAGTTGTATTTGTAGAAATTCGTGAAATATTTTCATTGAAGTTGCCTTTAGTTCAAGATTTTATGTTAGTTCCTTGGAACTGTTCGTTCAGTGCAGATAAAATAATTTTGGCTTCCTTGAGCCTTTACCAATAACATTATTTTAGACAAGGAATGTAAAAAATATACGCAAAAAACGGTGAACCTCAACTTAAATTCATTAATGGCTGTCATGAATCTCAGCTAGCTTAAAGCTCGTTAGTATTGGGGAGTTAAAAAGGCTGCCTTAATGAAATATATTAATTTCAACTATCAACTTATGCAATGTTGTTGCATAATAAAAGCATTTTTGTTGCATAATCAAACCATTATTGTTGAACAGTGGACTCCCATCTCTCCAAAATCAATGCATAATTCATATCCTTGAATGCAAAGATAAATTAAACCTATTTCATAATCCATCGATACAACATCCAATGCATTACAGTTCCATAATAAGCTTAACACAATTTACGATAAAATGTAATCACTTTTCTAACTGTACCACTCCATTTTTACAGTCCTTAATTCATTCTATTTCTTAATGAATAATAAAGTTTAAATTACCGATCACAGAAACTGTAGCTAGTCATCTCTTTCTGCACGAATATTATAAAAATTCAATCATTAAATCGTCTAGAATAAGGTCGTTTATTTCACTAATTTCATTCAAATAAAAAATGCACTAGAAATAAATATATAATCATCAATCATTTTTAAGTATTAATTATAAGCTTGTATACATTCTCTCTTAAGGTGCTACTGCGGATGCTGCATACACTCAGTTAAATAACTGGATTATATTGTCTAAATAGTGACACACAATATAGTGCATCACTATTTAAGCAAAGTCCCACTCATTTCCCTGTGTGATGGAGTTATGCCTGGTGCTGATGCAACGAGTATTATAAACATATAAATATTTTAGTTAAATACCTCTTATGGTGTTTAAACTTGTATTTTTTAATTTCGTATACTGTGTTTAGTATTAGTGCTATTAAGTGTTCTCTTATGTACTTAATTGATGTACAACTAACAAGCCTAGTGCAATTTATTACAATTAACTGACAAAATGGATAAAAATATTTTATATATCACTATTTGTAATAAATCATTTTACAATAAATTTCGTCAACTAAATGATACCGTTCAAATTGAAATGGAATCGATAATCTTTAAATTTTATAAAATTTACTGAAATTATTTTCAGAATAATCATAGTTATGTAAATAGAGTCATCGGAATTACCACCAAATTTTGTCAAAACCATTAAATAAATTTTCCTTTTTCATAAGGTGAAAAATGACTGTTAATAAAAACGAAGAAAAAACTTTTTTTATAGAGAAAGAAAATAACAGCACAATATTAAAACAACTTCGTAAATTTGTGGACCCCAAAAAGATAACTAACTACCTATAACACGAGTGTCTAACTATCAAAGGATAATTATAGGTACTTAACAACAGCGTCTAACTATCAAAAGATAATTGACTACCTAACACGTGCCAGCTACCTAAATAACTTCAAAATAAATATTTCCCAATGTATACATAATTAACTACGTTAATCGAGAATTAAGGTACCAAATCAAATTTGAAAAGAAAGATTTTATTCATTAATTTTGTCACTGCCGACCAAACTTTCTGGGGAAACTTCAACAAACCCTGAAAATGTTCGGAAATGAGCTAAATTACACGTTCAAGTTGAAACTTTTGGCATGAAATCAATTCAAGTAACGACAAAGTTGGTGTACCATTTGCAAGTCCCCATATTTGGCCGACCTGTTTCCACTAAAGTTTCAAAAAAAATTGCAAACGTTGCAATAACTAAGGAGTAAAGATAAATTTTATTTTAATTACCTTTGAACGGGAAAAGCAAGAATCTTCATATCCTTTTAAATTTTGTGCATAATTTTATACCTCAATTTATTGGACGTTACATGACTTTTTTGACACAAAAACACCACTTCATAACATAATATTATCGTGACGGTTTCAGCTCCATGAGTGCCTCATTTTTAACATTAGTAAACAGTAGTCATTATTATTGCAGTACTTTTATTACCCTTGTGTTATAACGCTATTTTACTCATCATCATCATCATCATCATAATCATCATTATGATATTGTTGATCCTCCCCAGGGGCCATACCTTCAAAACTCGCTAAGTGAACTTAAGTACTTACGCTCTATTTTCTTGTCTATGATTGGTGGATTTTGCTTGAAAGGCCGTCAATGATTGGCTGATGAACTTACGATCTCTTAACTTTTTTTGAAAATATGGGCCCAGGTTCTCAGTTATCTTAATAATATAATAACTTGTCGCTTGTTCTCTTTATAACGTATGGCATATTTAGCAAATATTTGAGCTCTAATCGTGATCCTGACTCCTGGTAAGAAATAAAGAAACTAAACTGAATAAATAATAACAATTGGATCGCTGATATATTCATAAAATATATAAATATGCACTGATAAATTGACAAACGGAATAAATCTTGAATATTTCACATAAAAATGCAGAGTGCACATTTTGCTAGTGTATGTTCCTGGACACCAGTGGACATATGATGGACTTGTTCAAACCGAAGAATTTCCTTCAAAAATCATAAAAAATAAGCAAGAGAATTAATTATAAATTCTGCTTGCTACATTGGCTGAGTTTGCTGGTGTAGCTAGGTTCGCGGACACCAATGGACATATGATGGACTTGTTCAAACCGAAGAATTTCCCTCAAAAATCATAAAAATACGCAAGAGAATTGATTATAAATTCTGCTTACTAACTTGGCTAAGATCAAAATTGTCTGGCCTTTCCCGCTGCATTCGTACTGACAGAATATACTGCAAATCAATTATGTTTTCCCTCAAAAATTATAAAAAATACGCAAGAGATTTAATTATAAATTCTGCTTACTAACTTGGCTGAGATCAAAATTGTCTGGCATTTCCCGCTGCATTCGTCCTGACAGAATATACTGCAAATCAATTATGTCGGCGCATTTGAGATCCGGTAACCAGGGTGAAGAGGTTGATAGACCGGCCCGATAGCGGCAGAGATAAGGCCTTAAGATGAGCTTTTAAGATAGGCGTTGGTTCTACCTAACTGAATCAATATAAAAGTATGAATGATGTCATGAAGACCTTCTACATGATGTCATGAAGCACCTTCCGAATGATGTCATAAAGCACATTTCGAGTGATGTCATTCAAGTACCTTTGAATGACGTCACAAAACACCATCCGGAAAGGAACTGCCGGCTTAAAACGAGAATGCGTATGAGGTAAATGGGAATTGCAAGAAAGGGAGTGGAGATTGGCATGAAAGGGGGTGGAGATTAGAATGAAAGGAGGTTGGAAGAGTACCTCCTTATCACTATTATTATACTATGTACTATAGAGATAAGAACCCAAGAAAACTTCGGGTCAAATGGTGAGCGTGTCCAGGATAAAGCACTCAGCCTGGGGGCACCCGGAGATTGATGCACAACTGTTCTGATAAATAATTTAATTTAATCAAATTAAATTAACCACAAGATCCTCAACTAAAAACATATTGTGCATGTAGGTGTGAACTCCTATAGGCTAAAATAAAGCAGTAAATTCCTCTATATATAATAAAATTAATGTCGTATCAGTGCTACTTTTTACAGGTGTCAGAGTGGCGCTTTGCCCCCCGAATTTCCCGACCCATGTAGCCGGTACGACAATTATTTATGTCTACAATAAATAAATTAATATAAGAAAACTGTTGCCCTACTGATGCAAATTTGCATAATAAAAATTAGATTGTGCACCTCTGCAATAATTCTTTTGGTGATTGGAAGCAGGCATATATGTAAAGCTATAATCTCAAATCATAAGTTCGATGAGAATTGTTATAAATGCGAAATAATTGTTATACAGCTGGAATATAATAATAGTTACTTCTGTGAAACAAGTTTGTTGAACTATAATAATAATAAACAAATTTCATAAATAATTATTCTGTCCTTTGGACACGCATAAAGCTACATTCACAAATCCCATAATCCACGAAAACTGGTAAAAAGCTGGTGGTATAAAGCTGATGGTATATATAGAACAGGTGGTATACGCAAAGCTGGTGATATAAAGCTGGTGTTAGAAAGCTGGTGTTAGAAAGGTGGTGTTAGAAAGCTGGTGGTACATACAAAGCTGGTGATATAAAGCTGGTGTTAAAAAGCTGGTGGTATATACAAAGCTGGCGGTATAAAGCTGGTGTTAAAAAGCTGGTGGCATATACAAAGCTGGTGGTATATATACAAGGCTGGTGGTATAAAGCCGGTTAAGTGTTCTTCTAAAAACCTCTCAAAGATTAATGTTTTCACCAGTAAAGCAGGTGCATCTGATTCTCATGATAGCCGGCGTCATGTTGCGCTGATAAGACCCTCCCGTTATCTGATAAGCCCCACGTTAAGCTTTACCCTGGAACATCTCGCAGTTTTTCTGACTTGAGAGTGCGGTGAGGGGAATAGCAGATATTCGTACAGATATTTTCATGTTGTGGATTCAATCTGTTTAATCAAATAAAACCAATCTAGTAAACAATAACATTTCTTTATTAAAATATATTATTTATTTAATAAATCCAATATATAAGCTTATTAACAAAATTTGGATGCATATGAACTTTCAGTTTTTTTATGTTGCATAGCACCAACTCATCAAAAAACTATTGAATATCTGTTTTCGATACAAAAATCTTTAATTATTAGATTGCTATATTAAATTGAATTTAACCAACGCTTCGAATATGTTTTTAAATGCAATTGAAAATGTATAACACGAGTAACTGAAATGGTCAAATGAACGTAGTGTTTTCTCTTATATCGAAAGGAGAAGCGATTCTTTTTCGTACGTTACATTTTTATCATGGAATTATCCACTTCAATTAACGTGTGAGCTTCCTACCTTAATCAAGATTTTATTTAACAACTTCATTAACTTCTTAAATACATGCCTAAATTAACAGGTCAACAAAATATATTATGAGGAACTTATGCGTTCATTCTTGTTTTTTTCCGTTGAGCACAACAAAGCAAATATATGTTGATCAAAGTACGATCAGTTCTAACAAAAAATTTTCAACATTTTCAAAATCGATATATTACCGATAACTGATAAGGAATCAGCTTCAGAAGCTTAACCACTGATAGGGGTATAGGTGGCACATTTAAATAAATTTTACTAACAAGAGTAAGTCGCACCAACATTGGTGGATCTAAACAACGTGAATGGCGATCACAAATCAACCAGAAAAGGTGTAGGCTAACCTCTATTAAAACACCTCATATAAACACCTCAAACACCTCATATAAACACCTGTTAAGAAATGAATGTTACTTGTATTATCGAATTTATATATAACTCATACCTGCGATCTATTCTAATATATTCTATATTTCAGGATCAATTTGGTTTAAAAAAACATTTTACTGTAGATATTATTGTACGCGACATTTGATTTTTTTATTCTGATTTTGTTTTAATCTGAATTATTTATTTAGAGCAACACGTACCTTCACAATGCCGGACATATCAATTTTCCGATCCTACTCAGGGTTTGCGAAAATCGCTCAGCTGGTGAGTGTGGGGAACTAATGGGGGAAGCTGGCAAACATCAACTAGTTAATTTATTATTTTATTTTAAAAATGAATACTTTTTAACATTGCATTCATAACAAGAATACGCATTTATTCATGCCAAGTTGGTGTCGCATTCTAAGAAGCAACAAACATATTTTTTGGACCCATCGCTACATGTACACCGATTTGAGGGATTTATGGCATTTCGTAACTTTAAATTACGGCAAGACAAGTTAAGATAAATTATATTTTTATCCGGGCACTTGAAAGACACGATAAACCCATAACCATATCATATCTTGAATCTATTCTGATGATACTGGTGATGGCCAAATGGCACCGACTTACTCAATCACGAAGAATTTCTTGGAATTACAAATAATTTTTTTTTCTTGCAGTTGTCCCTGACCGTGGCGATGGCGGTATTCTTCTCGCTGCACAAGATCCACTATTCCGAAATAGACAAAACCTACTACGTGACTGCCATCACCGTATCTGCTTTCCTTCAAACTTCATTCCTGCTCATCGTTTATGTCTTCGGCGGCATAGCCATCCAAAAGACACTTTATGTGAGCGAAATTTTTTATTATATGCTTATAACTGCTGAAATAAAAAGCTGAAATTCTACAAAAGCTGAAATAACTTATAAAAGCTTAAATGCTACACATTTTTCTGGGAAAATGAATTGCAATTGCAATGCATTGAAGTTTTGTTGCAGTACTGGAGAGATTCAGATAACATCGGAGTTTTCTGTGATCAAAACTCCGTTTTTTATTGCTGTTTAAATTTGTATCATCTTAGTTCTTTTCAGGGTAAACTCTAACAAAAGTTACAGCTGCACGAGACCGGAGACCGCGTAAATTCGCCCGAATTAGTTAACAAGAGTTAACAAGTATAGTTTACATTAGTTAACGTTTAGCACAGCACAGCATAGTAATATCTACGTTGAAGAATGGGCTTAGTTTGGTTTGTCGACGACTTTTATCTTGTCTCCTGGAGATATGGAGACTGACCTTTTGACCAGATCTTTCCAAAACTGATGTTGAAGCTAAGTTATTGCTGAACATCCACCACTTGTTACTAATATTTTTCTGAGTAATATATTTAAAAGATTTTTTCCATAAAGTATTGTGAATTTTTGCATGATAAATGGTTGAACGGCGGTGTTTTTAGCGCATTTTCTCATTTTTAGAAAAAATTTCCTATTGTCCTCATCATGTCCGTCCGTCCGTCTGTCCGTGACTTCACGTTTTCGCCGACGAGAAAATGCGCTCTCTGTCACTCACTGCAGTGAGTACTGAGTTATATTTTTTACAGGAAGTGATAGTGAACAGCTTCTACTCGCTGGCGCTGCTGGTGGCAGCAATCCTGCTATTCACATCCACCACTTGTTACTAATATTTTTCAGAACTATATATTTAAAAGCTATTACTTTCCATACCATGTTGTGGATTTCTTAATGATAAATGGTTGAACGGTGGTGTTTTTTACAGGAAGTGATAGTGAACAGTTTCTACTCGCTGGCGCTGCTGGTATCAGCAATTCTGCTGTTCACCATGGCCGGTCGGGACGATGGCTCCGTGGCCAGCGGCATCTTCAACTTGTTTGCCATGGTAGCCTACGGAGCGGACGTTTACTTCGCCCTGGTCAACATGGGAGCATTTAACATTGATTTGAGCAATCTACCGACCAGTGGTGCTAACAGAGTCTAGGTAGAAATAGTTATAAATAATTAACTGTATCCGGTGTCAATTCCCTTGACCTGATAGAGATTGAGGACGAGTCAACATATGATAGACACGTGATAGATCACGCGATCAAGACCTCAGTAGTGGGCGGAAGCGTAGCTTATAAAAGGCCTAGCAACCTTAAGCAAAGCCCCCAGTAGCTGATGTCTTGATCGCGTGATCTATCACGGGTCTATCAGATGTTGACTCGTCCTCAATCTCTATCAGGTCAAGTGAATTGACACCGGACAACTGTAAATTTTAAGATTAAATGTGAATTGTCAACAGTCCGGACTGTAAGTATCTCTGCACACTGCAAATATAAGAAATTATCATTGTTTTGAGTAAAAAGATTTGGTTGGATTACAGATAATCATCTGCAAATGGTTATGTAGTCATGTGACTACAATAGGTTTCGTTTGAAACAGCTAGCTACCTCCTTTACAGTTGCATCGTACTGAATTTTGGTACAAATGGTTGTATTGGTTCGATAAAAATATTGTTGTTAACACGTTATAATGTTATTGCTGTATTGCGCTAACAATATTGTTGCTGTACTGCGCTAATAATATTGTTGCTGTACTGCGCTAACAATATTGTTGCTGTACTGCGCTAACAATATTGTTGCTGTACTGCGCTAACAATATTGTTGCTGTACTGCGCTAACAATATTGTTGCTGTAGTGCGCTAATAATATTGTTGCTGTAGTGCGCTAACAATATTGTTGCTGTACTGCGCTAATAATATTGTTGCTGTACTGCGTTGCGCTAATAATATTGTTGCTGTAGTGCGCTAATAATATCGTTGCTGTAGTGCGCTAATAATATTGTTGCTGTACTGCGCTTATAATATTGTTGCTGTACTGCGCTTATAATATTGTTGCTGTACTGCGCTAATAATATTGTTGCTGTATTGCGCTAACAATATTGTTGCTGTACTGCGCTAACAATATTGTTGCTGTACAGTGCTAATTTAATTTACTGTCAATTAAATTAGCCGAGTTTTTTTATGGCTATTCTAAACGTTTCGCAATCCCCTCCAAAAATTCAACTCGTTCACAATAAAATTATGAAAATAATTAAAGATTAAAATATTTTTGACAGTGAAGAGATATAGATAAAAATATTCACAATTGGACCTTTTTGTTGTTGTTCCCCGTCTCTTAATTACATAGCATTTACACACATTATCGTAAAATTTATCTGTATTCACGTCTAATTTATTCCTGAACTTCATTACATCAAATGTCCAAATTGTTGTATAATATGCACTGCAAATTATAAATATTTGATTTATGTAACTTGTATTTGTCGTCTTATATCGTAATAAATTGTCCGTATAATTGTAAGAAAATCAGTAGTGTAATTTTTTAAATTAAATTCTTATTAATTTTCGACAATTTTTTTCACAATTCCGTTTCAATTTTTAGATGTTGTCACAATTATCGTTGAACGCTTCTCCATTCCGGTACATACAGTGACTCGAAAAAGTTTTGGATGCATTACAGTTTTCTTTATATCTCAAGTTAATAAGCGAGATTTTACCTAATATTCGGTCAGTATATTACTAATGGTACTGCAAACATTATATGGAAAGGATATTGAAAAGTGAGCATTTTTTAGGTTTTATTCGACAAAATAGAAAAATTAACCCACGCAAAAGAATTGGATACAACAATTTAGTATTTGGTTGAGTATTCTCTATTTTGTAGTACATCATGTAGTCGCTTTTTTATATTTGCAGACGTGTTTCTTGCATACATTTGCAGATATTTTGTGCCATTCTTCTGTACAGAAATCCTTCAGTTGCTGGATATTGCTTGGATTTCTTTTTGTGAACAATGATCTTCAACACTTCCTACAAGTTCTCAATGGGGTTGAGGTCTGGAGACTGGCTTATAGGCCAAGAAAGAACATCAATTTCACTACCTTGAAGCTTTTTTTCGTGAACTTGGCTTTATGTTTGGGATCATTGGCATCTTGAAACACAAAATCGCCTCCAAGCCCCAAAGAATCAGTAGATTTGAAGAGTTTTTTTTTCAATAATCTCCCTGTTCATCCGCCCATCCATCCTGCCATCAATAATTTCCTATTCTCCAGGACCTTTTGAACAGAAACACCCCCAGATCATAATTAAACCTCCACCAAACTTCGCAATAGGAATGATATACTTGTTGTTCAACGCTGAGCCGTTTTTCAGCCAAACCTGAGGAACTGAATTCCCTCGGAAAAATTCGATTTTCGTTTCGTCAGACCAGATTACCTTATCCCAAATTTGTTGTAGTTTCTCACCATAGGTTTTAACATAATTCAGACAGGCTTTCACGTGCCGGAACTTCAACAGAGGAACATTTCGTGGGGATCTTGACATACGACCAGGACGATTTAGAGCTCTGGTGATTGTGTCCTTTTCTACATCAATCCCAGCTTCCATCAGGTCGCTTTTAATTTCACCACGAGTAACAATTAAACGGGTTCTTCTGTACCTTTCTGCTAATCCACCTCCCATTACCGTCTGTTAGTTTCCTTGGACGACCAGTGCCCATACTTTCAAAAAAGTTAAGAGATCGTAAGTTCATCAGCCAATCATTGACGGCCTTTCAAGCCACTCTTTTAAAAACAGTTAAGAGATCGTAAGTTCATCAGCCAATCATTGACGGCCTTTCAAGCAAAATCCACCTATCATGGACAAGAAAACAGAGCGTAAGTACTTACGTTCACTTTGCGAGTTTTTAAAGTATGGCCCCAGGTCTTGGAAGGTTTGCAACAGCTTGCTCGGTTAATATCATCAGGATGATTGCTTCCTGATGATATTTCAGAATGTACTTAATGATAGATCAGGCTCCTTGGATATTATTTGATAATCCTTCCCTTTCTTGTGACAATTGATGATCTCTTGACGCAAATCTGTCGCCAACTCTCAAGTTTTAGATAATTTCAATTGAATTTTAAATATGAAGCTGAATAATATCTTCAACACAAAAACTCGTAAACGATAGCAAATGCTCTGATTGGACAATTAGATAACAATATGAGATTAGGGGAACGTCTAAAGTGAAAGCGAATTTAGAGTAGTTTTAAAAAAGTTATTTTTGTTAATTTTTAAACATGTACCAATACTTTTGCAGGGCTAATTTTTATATTTTGTTGAATAAAACCTAAACAATGCTTACTTTTTAATACCCTTTCTATATAACATTTCTATTACTATTAGCAATATACTGCCCAAATATTATGTAAAATCTTGCACTTTAACCTGAGATATGAAAAAAACTGTAATGTTTGCAATACTTTTACGTGTCACTGAAACGTGACTTTCATTTCTCGTATTCGACTGATTAACAAATTTGGTTAATACTTAGTTCAATACTTAGTCAAATACTTAGTTCAATAGTTCAACAAAATATTGAAGTGCAGAGATAATGTCCGACATTTCTTATATTTTCTACTATCTGTCTGAATTATTGCCGTACTGGCTCAACATGAGAGCGTTAACATAGGTTGAAAATTCCACAAGTAAACATAGAAGAAGTTAACCCAAATAATTAAATTGAGGTTAATTAATTGAAGTGCGGTGACTGATACGTCACACTATAGGAATATTTCTGGGATAATCGAAATTAGTTTATTATTTAAAGAGCATAAGGTGCAGAATAGGGTGGATTCGATAGAAGTGAAGTATTATTTATTAAAAAAGTTGCTGAAGAATGTAATTCCGTGCGTTCAGATCAGTGGTCCCCAAATTTTTTCAGGCTGGCGCCCCCTTTGGTTCCCTAGTGAATCTCTAACGTCCCCCCCCCCCAACAGACACGTATAAAAACATAACATATGTCTATTTTTTGATATTTAGTACGATGCAATTTTAAAAGAGAAAGGTTAAACACAAATGTGCATTTCACAAATAGAACCCCATTTAGTAAACCAATCTATTTTTTTACAGTTTTGACTGTTTCACCACTAGAAATTCAAGACGGCTCGGATAAATTTACGGCCGGACTCGTGGCCGGTCTCGCGTCTCGCTTTCGCAGCCGGTCTCACGGCCAATCTTCAAATTCAGTGACCAAGGAATATCTCCCAAACTAATGAACAAGACATGGAACACCTATACAGTAGGACCTAACGGTGCAGTTTAGCTTGTAAAAAATTTTTAAATTTCACCTTCTTTCGGGAGTTATAAGGCGATATGGGCCGAAATTCGTAGTAATCAAAGAATTTCTTCCAAACTGCTGAACAGATTCAGATGAAATTTTGAATATAAATTTCTAACTACCAAACGGTGACTTTTAGCTCGTGAAAATTTTTTCGATTCGGAGTCATGTCTACACGTATTGTGTACGGATAGTCAAACAAACGTACGAACTTCTGACTTCGACTTCGCGGACTGCCGCCCCCCTACTGCCCCTTTCTTCCTCACCGCCCCTCAGATCTTTCCACCGCCCACGGGGGGGGGCGATATCGCCCACTTTGGGAACCATTGGTTTAGATAGGCTTCATTATACCGTACACAAGAGGTATGTAATTTCGTGCGTTTAGATAGGTTTCATACCGTACACAAAACATACTGTCGTCTCATCATGTCTCACATTGGATCATGTTTCTACACTACATCGTCTCATCATGTCTCACAATTGTATCATGTCTCTACACTACATCGTCTCATAATAACTTACAATTGTATCATGTCTCTACACTACATCGTCTCATCATGTCTCACAATTGGATCATGTCTCTACACGACACGGCAACAGACATAATCATGTCTGTAGTCTAACAGAACTTATTGTCTTGTAGCAACATCATGGCTTCGAATAACATGGACATCATGTAGCAAAACATGATATGCATGTTCCACGTTAATTTCTTCTGGTCATAAAACCCAACGTTGAAGAAGCACAAATAAGTGCGAAATCCCGGGCAACAAAGCAATAAATTCTTCCATATGATAAGAAAATAAATGATTTAACGGTGCTGCATGGAAGCAAGCCTCAAAAGACTTCGAGCCTCAAGCCTCTTTAAAAAAAAAGACTTCGCTGCATGACTTTTAAGAAATTTAAGTCCTCACCGTGTGCCATATTTGATTTTTTTAGGCATATACTGTGTTTTTTTGCCAAGCCGACAAAAATTAATGTGCATTTAGCTACTACCTTACAGTAGAAAACTGTTAGTATTGAGATAATTTACAATGCGTAAGTTAACTGCAGCAATTCTGTCGATTCTTAAGAAACATTTCCATTTTGTAGTCCCAGATGATAGCTTTTTGGTGCACATAATAAATATGAAATAATTTTCTTACTAAAGTGTTCCATTATTTTTACAAAATTGTATGTAATATTTATACGATCTTGCAACAAAAGCCAGATTTTTAAATGGGCATATATCAAGCAAACCATTTTCTTTTATCATCCATTTTCCTAATATCGGACAAATTGATGCGTATCGATTGGCATTATGATGTTTATATGAAACCAATATCCAATATCGCTCGTAGTCACCAAAGCATCTGCGTAATGCGACAAAGACGCTGATATGATATCTCTCATCAGCTGATAAAGCACGCCTGTTATCTGATAACACATATCGCGCAGGTTCACTTCTAAATGTCTCATAGTTTTAGCTGGCCATCGTCAGCATCGATTATTTTTTCAGTGCGGTATAATGGAGGAAAAGTTAACGTTAAATTCGATTTATTTGTATGTTTCAGCTCAATTTTGCAGTTAAGCTTCAGTTTGTGGAAAACCATCGTTTAGTTTTAACCCTGAAATGGGAAAGCTTTAAGTTAATATTAATAGTGAAGACAAATTTAAGTTCAATTAACATCGTTTTATCTACGCAGGAGTTTTTTAATATTCTGGATACATGAATAATTTGTTATATATATTTTGAACAAATTAAAAATCTCCATTTACTGTTGAAAACATGTTCGATAAATAAAAAATATTATCTCGTTTATTATCAGAAACATGAAACATTAATTACATTAATTGTTAAAATCGAGATAAAAAGGCAGCAAATTCATTCCATATATTATCGTAACATGATAAATACATGCAGAAGGATAAAAATAATTTCCATATATTATTTAAATAATAGAAGCTGTCATGTTAGACACAGCCATCTAATCATCGAATCGTCAAGATTCTTAATTAGCTACGTGTCGAATAAAGTGAAATAGATAAAAAAATCAAATATATACATAGTGATAGATTTACATTTTCTTCGTCTTTTCATTGTTTAATTTATTTGAAATACTATAATTATGTAGGAAATACAATATTAATTATTTTACAATTCTACAAACTAAATTGAACTATGATTTCCTGTTTCTTCTACTATTAAGTTTATTGTTGTCAGTACTACATTTTCAACTACAAATTATATTTTAAATCCTAAATTTATTTTACCGATAAAATCCAAGGAATTTTTTACAATTCAGATTATTTAGATTCTGAAGCTAATAATAAAAAAATGGCGGACCTTTCGATATTTTTCTCCAAGTCTGGAATAACAAAACTCGTCGAATTGGTGAGTTATGAAATGTTGTTATTGCCCCATTATTAACAATAATATCTATAATTTAATAATTATTGACATAAATTTTCTGAACATTTAAAATTTGCACATCTTTAAACATGTGCACACGTTTCTCAGCCATGAACTAATCAAGTTTCACGATATTTATTAAATGAAACTGCACAAATTTATCCATGATAACTAAAGTAATCACTAATCACTAATCAAAAACTGAAACCGTCAGGCAGGTATAAATAACTTAAGCGACGCACCGCGTGATGTGGAAATGATTTTGATGGATAAAGAGCTTTTTTTAAAGAGCCTCTGCTTTTAAGAGACCTCATTTAAGTAATAATAAAGATGTTGTCGTTAAAGTATTGTGTGTTTGAGGAGGACACTTATAATGAAATGCACCGTTCTGCCATTAAAACAGCTAACTTTCCGGAATCATGCAAACGTTTTCAGTCAAGGTATTGTTCCTAAGTTTGACATGATAATGATTAGGCTAAATATATTTGAATAATTTGCTTTTTAAAACCAGAGACTGCACTATTTGTTGATTGCACAGTATAACGGACCAGAAAAGACAACGAACGTTTGCGTCAAGCAATTACAAGTACGGTTTACAATATAATAGATTAGAATAGAAAAAAATAGAACAGAATAGAATAGAATAGAATAGAAGTGTCGGCGTTGAAGAAATAGGCCCATGGCCTGTTGCCGATTCTTGAACTTTTCGTGACTTGATTCACAAGGGATCCGGCCTTTGGAACCCGATCTTTCCATAACTGACGATTGATTGAGATAGCTGCTGGACTTATTGCCTGCTCCGTAATTTGCTAGGCATTTTAAGACTGAACATATGCTCCTGCATAGCTTCGTCTGGACTTATTGCCTGGTCCGTAATTTGCTAGGTTTAACGTCGAAGGCAGGGTTCAATTGCTTTATTATGAAGCGATCAAGCTATTGATAATCTATAATTTGAGTCTTCAAACATTATCGCTGATTTTTTTTAATATTTAGTGTTACATTATTATTTCAGTTGTTCCTGATCGTGGCAATGGCTACATTCTTCTCACTGCACGTAGTAAGACCAGGAAATACAGCAGACCAAGACTCTGCGTACTTCATCACAGCGATGGTCGTGTCTGCTTTCCTGCAGACCTGCTTCCTGCTCATCGTCTACGTCTTCGGTGGCATGGCCATCCAAAAAACTCTCTACGTCAGTCAAAAGTGCTATTTTCGTATTATTTTCTTTACATTGTTATCATTTTATTGTATCTTATTGTGTAATGTGAGAAGGATGCAACGCGGTTAAATATTTATTTACACTATTTTTAGCGCATTTTCTCATTTATGGAAAAAAGGCGCTATTGTGCTCGTCATGTCCGTATGTCTGTCTGTCTATCCGTCTGTCTGTCCGTCCGTCCGTGACTTCACGTTTTCGTCGACGAGAAAATGCGCTCCTCTATCACTCGCTGCAGTGAGTACTGAGTTATATTTTTTTCTAACATAGTTTTAATAGCCATCAAAGAATGTAGTAAATTATTTTAAAATGAAATAGATTTAGTTAGGAGAGGAAAAAATTATTCATATCGCAAATTTATTTCAGAATGGAATGAAATTTCACAAGCAAAATTCATGATGAAAGTAAAGACGAAAACTCCAAGCAACGTCTGTCTATAGTGTGAATCTCATGAATTCCATATACTTTGTCCATGAAATAAAAGACTGTAACACTGTGATTTGTAACACTGTCATTCATATTTCATGGATAAAAAATATACATAAAATAAAAAATTTCAACACTGTAATTTAATTCATATTGAACGATTCATTCACCATATTGTTCACAGGAGTTCATAGTGAACAGCTTCTACGCTCTGATGCTGATGGTGGCAGCAATTGTGATGTTCACCGTCGCAAAAATCGACGCCGGTGCGATCGTAAGCGGGATATTTACCCTCCTAGCGACCGTGGCCTACGGAGCAGACATTTATTTCTCCTTGGTTAACATGGGGGCACTGGCGAGGACTGATACCCAGGGGGTAAACGCTCCCCCCATGCCCGCTGGGGTTAACAGTCAACCTTTCACCCCTCCCCCAACTTACGTCCCTCCCCCAAGCTTGGTGGGGCCAGGTCCCTATGTGGTCCCAAACCAGGATAGGAATAACGTCAACTCTGGGGATCTTGGGACTACCAGATCTTGAGATGGGTCTACCAGATCTACCAGATCTTGGGATTACCAGATCTACCAGATTTTGGGAATACCAGATCTACCAGATCTTGGGATTATCAGATCTACCAGATCTTGTGTCTACCAGATATTGAGATGGTCCTAATATATAATGAAATGGTGCACTCAAAGAAATTGTTGGATTTTGTCCAAATAGCGATGTTTTTCGGCATTAGTGTGAGTCATCCCGGTTCAGGTTAGGATAGAATAATAAATAAGGTATTAGTGCTACATGAAGAAAAGCTAATCACTATTTGGGCAAATGATACGGTAATTTTTCTGGGTGCGGAATATCCCTACCGAAAATCACTGCTGGATCTGGACTGGTCTTTCAAATTCCGATATTTTATCATGAATAATTTTTGAATAATATACACCGATGTGACCTTCGGCAAATTGTGCAAAGATCCAGAAAACATCAAAATTTTTGGAATTACTCGCATTGTGCAGAAAAATCACTCACTTAATCGATTATTTTATGTCCTCTACATATGGCGACTAATTTTACATTTACGATGGGGATTAATTTTGGTAATTGATAAAAATTTTGAAGCAGAAGCGGTAGTCAAAGGCACTAATTACCTCAGGTAAATAGCATTGTAAATAAGAGAAGCTATTAGCATGTCAGATGGCCTTTAGACTTTCAAATAAAACTCAGGACTTGATTTTCGCCGGGTTTATTATCAATAAATATTTTTATAATCATTACTCAATAATAATTTATTTCATTTAGCGTCAGTTCATTAAATAGTCGGTTATTAAATCATAATTCGATTGAAAGCATAAATTTCTTTATTCATGCAAACTGTTGAGTAAACATGAATCAAGACTGTGCTTATTCTACTTAAAAATAAACATAATATTACATAAATCATACAATATTCTGGGGACTGGCTCACTGTCACTAGATTTTATTCGTACACGCACAATTACTGTAGAGGTATAACCGAACCTCCGGTAATTTACCGGCATAATATTGTTCACAATATATCCATTTTTTATTAGAACTCTTTTATTAATCAGCATATTCGGACAGACCACAGGGATTGTGGTCTGGGCTGCTGTCAGGGACTGAGGTCTGGGCTTGTCGTTAGGGAATGAGGCCTGGGCTTGTCGTTAGGGAATGAGGTCTGGTCTTGCTGTCAGGGTCTGAGGTCTGGACTTGCTGTTAGGGACTGAGGTCTGGACTTGCTGTCAGGGACTGAGGTCTGGGCTTGCTGTCAGGGACTGAGGTCTGGACTTGTCGTCAGGGACTGAGGTCTGGGCTTGCAGTCGGGGACTGAGGTCTGGACTTGCTGTCAGGGACTGAGGTCTGGACTTGCTGTCAGGGACTGAGGTCTGGACTTGCTGTCGGGAACTGAGGTCTGGACTTGCTGTCAGGGACTGAGGTCTGGGCTTGCTGTCGGGGACTGAGGTCTGGGCTTGCTGTCGGGGACTGAGGTCTGGGCTTGCTGTCAGGGACTGAGGTCTGGGCGTGTCACAGGAAGCTTTACTGAGGTTGAGCGTTCAGTTATTTGTCCTACAACTTATTTAAAAGTAGTTCTAAATATTGAATCAATTGTTCCAATAATAATTATGTGCTTATTTTGAAAAGTATTGCTCTCTCGAACTCCCAACGTTTTCAAATATTATTCTTCATGTTTCAAATTAGTTTGCAAATTTTGAAAAATAATTTCAAAAGCATTTAAAATTTGACCAACTACAAATTTCATGCATTTTAGAAAACTGTTGATTTATGAATTGGAATAAATAACCTAGATCAATTACATTATATTTACCTCACCATTTGAGTTAAACAGATCTTCTAATAAGTATATAATATTTATTACTTTCAGTAGGCACCTTAAGAAGGTAATTCCAAATTTAGCGTGCTAAATTGAGTTGGAAATGTACATCAAACTAATTATATCAGCCGAATTGAAATAATATTAATTAATATTAATTATTATTAATATATTAATAATATTAATTATTAATAATATATTAATTATTATTTTTAATATTAATTGATGTTATATTAATTAATATTAATTTTATTGATATTGATGACCTCATCTTAATTGATAACCGATTGTTCATTGAAGCCGTGAAGCTCAACAATAAAATTTAAAAAAAACGGCGTCGTGTTTTGTTAGAGTTTAAAATTCCTTTTCAAATCGAGCTTTTTGTTTTTTTGTTTAATACTTAGTTTTATTTAGATATTACTACAACATAACAACACAGTATCGCAATTTTCGAGCATCACAGTGTATAACATCATAAGAATTTAACCACAAGTCAAATATATGTGGCATTTATAGCGTCTGTATAACGTTATATGACGAGTATAACGTCATCCGCGGCATCTCTTGCGTTATGATCAGAAGCGTGACGTCTCATCGCTTCGGTGCGTCGGACAAGCTCCTAAGTTACGTCGAATAAAAATTTCCCTAATAAGAATTTCCCTATAAGAATTTCCCTTATACAAATTTTACCGATAAATTTTCCCCAATAAGAATTTCTCAAAAAATTTCCCCCAAAAAAATTTCCGCAATGAGAATTTCCCCAATAAAATTTCTCCAATAAAATTTCCCCAATAAAATTTGCCCAATACAAATTTCCCCAAGGACGTGTATAAAGGACGTGTATTTCCCAATTAATAATTTGCCCAATAATAATTGCCCCAATCTAAATTTCCCCATGATAATTTCCCCATATGGACGTGTATAAAGGACGTGTATTTCCCAAATAATAATTTCCCCAATAAAATTTGCTCCAATGTAAATTTCCCCAATAAGAATTTCCCCAATAAGAATTTCCCCAATAAGAATTTCCCCAAGGCCGTGTATGGGTCATGAGTGCAGGAAATGAATACGTCATGGAGGAATGTTCGCGGGGTGAAAGTGAACGAAATTACTTCCTGCGGGTGGAAACTAGTGAAGGATGGAAGCGATGAATTTCGCGTTTAATTTAACAATATCAATACTCGTGATACAAATAGGAAATTTAGCAAATAATTATTCACAAAGTAAATAAGCAAATATATGAAATTTATTCACACAGTGAATTGGTAAATATTTATTCGCAAACTGAATACAAATATATTATATTTATTCACAAAGTGAAAAAATATTTGCCTAGGTAATGTTCGTTAATGTTCATGGGTGTTCGAGCTATTATCAGTTATGTTCAAATTTTTTTTTATGAGTGTGAAGAATCTATCTAATTTAAAATAAATCATTATATTTGAAGCCAAGAAATACAATGGAGTAAAATTTGTAATAACACTAAAATAATGCGCATACAAAATACATGGCGATCGATATATACTTGGTGCAGCACTGGTCATCAGAGACATGTACAATGTACATGTTACTGTATATACTACTGCATCAGATACTGTACATGTTACTGTATGTACTACTGCATCAGATACTGTACATGTTACTGTATGTACTACTGCATCAGATACTGTACATGTTACTGTATGTACTACTGCATCAGATACTGTACATGTTACTGTATGTACTACTGCATCAGATACATGTACAATGTTCATGTTACTGTATATGCTACTGTTTTAGATATTTATACATATTCCTGTATATACTACTGCCTCGTATGCTTCTAAACTTTACTGCATCAAACATTTATAGGCATTACTTGCCTGTAGCAGCTATACGTATTAATTACTTATGAATGAGAACTGGATGTACAAATGCAAAAGACAGACTGAAATATGAATTATTTCTGCATCCAGATGCTACAAGCAACTAACGTGTAGAATATTCACTATTAATTACTATGTACATTATTCATCATTATTACCGTGTACAATATTCACCATTAATCAACGTGTACAATATTCACCATTATTAACCGTGTACAATATGCACCATTAATTACAGTGCACAATGTTCACCATTAATCACCGTAAACAATATTCACTATTAATCACCGTGTACAATATTCACCATTAATCACCGTGAACAATATCCAACATTAATCACCGTATATCACCGTGCACAATATTCACCATTAATCACCGTGCACAATATTCACCATTAATCACCCGAGGTCGCTTCCTTGCACGTCGCCAGCGGCCAGATTCGCGTCGGTCGCCCACGGTGCGACTTTCACTGCCTCACCGCCGCCGTGAAGGCCGCGCACGGTACCGTGACCGCAACCTGTGCACGGTACCGTGACCGCAACCCGCGCACGGTACCGTGACCGCAACCTGCGCACGGTACCGTGACCGCAACCTGCGCACGGTACCGTGACCGCAACCCGCGCACGGTACCGTGACCGCAACCCGCGCNGTCTTGCCCGGTGCCTGCACTGCGCACGAGGACGTCTTGCCCGTTGCCTGCACTGCGCACGAGGACGTCTTGCCCGTTGCCTGCACTGCGCACGAGGAACGTCTTGCCCGTTGCCTGCACTGCGCACGAGGACGTCTTGCCCGTTGCCTGCACTGCAACGGGCGAAGATTCCTAACTCTGGACGTCAGTTGGCGACGTCTCGACGTGATGTTAGTGACGTCACGTCTTGGTCAACGTTCAACAACAAGGACCAATTAAAGATCTGCCAATACTTCTTGTGAACAGTAATTTACAAACAATTTTTAACCGTATTAAGATAATTTGTAGAAATGTTCTTCCTACAGGCCATAGAATAACCTAAACTCTGTTGATGTTCTTTCTGTTGAATTTTTTAGCTTTTCACTAGCTGGTGGTCACTCATTACCGATGTCCGGCGCCTTTAACACGCCGATGATTATTTTTTTTTTAAATCACATGCTATACCAGACCCTAGGTACGATATATAAAAATGACCATTTAATATATAAATTACTACAATATGACCATTATACGAGACCGGTCTTTGCTCGCGTGTTGGTTCTTGAACTTGCAGCTTCAACTATTTACTTGCAATTTGAACCCTTCACTCGTTATTTCAACCCTTCATCATCTATATAAAAGGTCGCTAAAGGCCATGTCACATTAAGTACGACCATGTCACATATATGCCTAGTCACGTAACAGTAGTAACGCTATATACCACAGAGACCGCGACCTACACCGAACAAGGCGCTGAAGGCGACAGCTATATAAGGTCAAATAACCGGAGTGATATAAGGTCAAATAACCAAATTTTAATTTAGCATTAAATAGAAGCATGAATTTCATAATTGCTTTTGGATATAATGACGTTTTTCGCAAAAAGTGACATTTTTAAAAAGAACGTACGCTTGATATGGGTGTCAAAGATCGCGTGCTTGAAAAAGTTTACGGAAAAATTGCTGGCGGTTTGCGGCCGTTTGTTGTTCGCAAAAGCCCTCTCGTAAAAGCCGTTTTTTCTGTAAAAGTTACTTGCATAACGGCCATTTTTTGCCCGATATTGTTAGCAGCGATTACACTGGAGACCGGCATTCGCTTCCGTCTATATACAATGCATATACTTGTTCATGTCTACATCTACTCGCCTACATTAATTCTACGCATCCCTTCCCCATCTACTATCCTACATTTATTTTATGCATCTCTTCACCACATCTACTTTCCTCATCTACTCTTCTTATCTACCCTCCACATCTACTCTCCACATCTACTCTCCACATCTACTCTCCACATTTACTCTCCACATCTACTCTCCACATCTACCCTCCTTATCTACTCTCCACATATGATCTAAAAACCTTCTATAGGTAGGAGAAAATACCAAAAATACAATGGTAGTTTTTCATTTTAAATGAAAATAATTAAAGTGAAATGTGAAGAGACTGTAAAATTCCGGAAAGCCACTTCAAATGCTTCAAAATTTTGTGTCTAATATTTAGCACATAAATTTTTGAGCTGAAAATCCAGTTTTTAATTTTAGTGAACCGATTGTCGGGCGACTCTACGCTCAAAAAAATTCCGATTAATGCAGTATCAAGTTAATTTATAATGGTCGATGTTTAGTTAATAATATGTCAATAAGTTATATCATTGAAATGATAAGTGCTATCATATGAAGGATGGGGGGAACATACATAGAAAACATTGTAAGATCCAAATAAATGTTTGCTAATTACAGGTCAAAAAACAATGAACCTTACTTCGCTTAGATACAAATATTATTACTCAAAGCTGTATAACTTTATTTATATTGTATAGTGACATTAATTAAAAAAAACTAGACATTTAAACCCAACTTTTCCTAAATCGGTCGGAAATAAAAAAGACGTCGTAACATATAAACCCTTCTGTTTGTTGTAATCGGTGTTACATGATCTTCACCGAAGAAACGAAGAGGTTTAATTTTTTTTTAAATAGGCCTGAAGGAAAGCGTAGTACGAACTCCGAAACTGCAACGTCATCGCACATTTCTATCTCTGCGTGCCATAAGTTTCCTACGCAAGCACAATGCGGCGGTTTTCCAAAGGGCATGGCATGACCACATGGCACGACATAACCGCAACATGCACCACGCATAAACATAATGCTGAACACAATGCCATATTAGCGTGAGCGCTATTAACCTCTTGCATGAGTTAAAGAGTCACACTGAGTAAAATTAGTGAGTGAAATTAGTCACATTTGTCGGCAGCGTAAGTCATTCAAAGATCATATACTCGTTCGTATTTAAATCCATCTATTCTCTATCAAAATATTCTTTCATATATTTAAACTTGAAAGTTCGAGTGCTCCAATTGTGTGAGAATTGTTGCAGCTAGTTCTAGTAGCTGCTACAATTCTTACATAATGGATTTATAACCGATCATTATAGTACATTATTGGGCATTGTTAAATTAGATACTTTCAAAGCGTTATTTCTGCTATAAGAACATCACATTTGTATTTAAAGCGTTATATATGCCGTTTATTTCAAAGAAACCTTAACTGACTTTCTATTAATATGTAAGCAATCATTTGCAAGTTTCAAGCGATACAGATTTTTAATTATCTGCAAGCTAGAAGAGTTGTCTCCTTTCGACATGGGTTCACTGATTCCAAACTATGAGTTCAATATATGCTAGCCATAATTGATTTAACGATGTTTTCACGCCATACTTCATCTAGCATTCGCAGTGTTTCGTATACTCGTAATGAATTTATTACGACCATGTAAAGTCTTCAGTAAATATATCCTCTACAGGCATTGCAAAGTCTTCAGTAAATCCCTCTACACGCCCTGCATAGTATTCATTAAATCCTTCTACAGGCCTTGCAAAGTATACAGTATATCCCTCTACAGGCCTTGCAAAGTCTTCTGTAAATCCGTCTACAGGTCTTGCAAAGTATACAAAATATCCCTCTACAGGCCTTGCAAACTCTCCAGTAAATCCCTCTACAGGCCTTGCAAAGTCTTCTGTAAATCCGTCTACAGGCCTTACAAAGTCTTCTGTAAATCCGCCTAAAGGCCTTTCAAAATCTTCAGTAAATCCCTCTACAGGCCTTGTAAAGTCTTCAGTAAATCCCTCTACAGGCCTTGCAAAGTCTTCAGTAAATCCATATACCGGGTTTGAAGTTTGTGGAAGATAGCGCTGCTTAATTCGGCCTGAATGGAACTTGTGATCATCAAAAGTATATACCAGTATTTGACTGCATCAAATTAGGAATGCATTGCCTGGTAGCAATTGCAACAAACCGTCATTCCATAAGCAAACAAGCATTGTCGCTGTCTAACAGTCTTTAAAATAGTAAAACAAATGTATGTATACAGCATACGTCATTATACAGCCTATAATTCAGTTAAAAAATCAGACAGCAGTCCTTACCGTCCAAAATAAATTAGAACTGCTGTAAAGTGGCCATTACAGCTCAGAACATCCGCAAAACCCCTATAAAGAGGCCTTGTGGCCTCTGACGGGAGTGAATAAAATTATCATAGGAATGAGGAAAGAGCGAATCATGCCTCATATTAGAGACGTATCATGCCTCTCATTAGAGGCTTATTATGCCTCTCATTAGAGGCGTATCGTGCTTCTCATTAGAGGCGTTTCACGGCTTTCATTAAAAACTTTATCCTTTTGGTTTAATTAGGATTAATTTAATAAAAATAAAAAATAATGCAAAATCAAGCGGCGTGCCACGCAGTAGAGCGAAGAACTTCGTACAATGAAATACCATTGAGACATGAGATACTTTATAACTAAAGGGCAGTAATTCAACGAGTTGCAAGTAGAGTACCACAAATTTGAGGGGAGAACCGTACATGGTGTGAGTTATGTGGCATTAGATATATAAACCTAGCGTGAACATAGTAAGTAATAATTGTGGTTTAAGTGGTTGAACACGCAAAGGACAAGAGCACATTGGCTGAAAGCTAAAGTATTAGTTACGAATAAATTTATTCGAAAATAATAAACTATTATTATTATTATTATTATTGGTATTAATATTGTTATTATTATTATTATTATTATTATTATTATTATTATTATTATTATTATTATTATTATTATCATTATTATTATTATCATTATTATTATTATCATTATTATTTTTATTATTATTATTATTAATATTATAATAAAGCTATTAATAATAGCATTCACAATTATGAGAATAAGAATATAACTTAGAAATATATAAAAAATATAATAAGTAGAGGTGACCATGCAGTGGCAAATAGCCGGCCCTGATGATTTACCAAAGAAGTCCGTGCCAGTTTATAGGCCCTGAGGTCAAAGTTTGGAGAAAGAAGGCTCGCGTTTAAGTGAAGGTCATTGGCGTGAAATGCTCTAACGACCTGGTCATGTCGGCAGTATATATACACTCAGGATCTGCAGTCCTTCACTTCTTTCTGGTACCTCGATCCAGTTCGACCAGCGGTTTTCCTCTCGTCTGAAAACCTTTGGAAAATCGAACAGTTTTCTTGTACATGCTGCTACAGTTCTGTAATACAAGTATAGTTCTGTAGCAATTACGATTCTGCTGTTTATAATACACTTCGACGAATTGAATTTCTCAACATCGATCGATCGAATTTCTTTTGCATATAATTTTTCTCGGAATTCTCACCAGTGGATTTGAAGTTTTCAATATGAAAAAAATCGTAAGTACGGGTGTTGGTTTTTTGGATATTTTGTTGAATTTTTAATTTGCTTTTTGTTTTATTGCTCACGAATTATGTAAGTAAAATAAGCGGTTTTTACATATAAGATCGTAAAAATTGAATGTTGAGTTTAGTTAACTTTTTATCACAAATTTATTTAATTATCACACACGTAGCTTTTTTAAAATTGATCAAATTGAGTGTGCACCTAGTGGCCCATTATAACCGCAAGTACTGTGAGAGGACAATAATGGTTGCTTGGTTGCAATGGTTGTAGTGAGCAAATTTAACTCATGCATTAGTTCAGTTCATACATTAATTATCGATAAATATCGTAATAATAGTTATTATGAATATGTTGATCGCGAAAATTGGCGTTCAGATTCAAAGTTACTTTGAATTTTTGAAGTGCCTGATACGAAGATATTAATTCTGTTACTTAATTAAATGGATCGAAGCCCCTAAAATGAAGAATATTGTAAATATTGTATTAATAACACCAAAAGAATTATAACTGTAACAACAAACCAAGAACTTGTTGAGGCTTAATCATAAGCTACTTTTAACGATGAAAGGCAATTTTTATTGTTCAACTCCAATTAGAATTAGACCACTTTGAGAAAATGAAGCTGTGTGTGGATATCATTTTGCAATAACTAACATTTAATACATTAATCAAAGTTAATAAATTTGAGAAAATGAAGCTATGTGTGGCTTTGAATATCTAAAATTTAATACATTAATCAGTGTTAATAAAATGAACGTGACGTGGCAGAGATGAATATTACGTGTGCGCTTCACACGTTCCCTTTCTGCGCGTCATTGCACATGATTGCTTCCATTTTTGCCTTCAGTTGCTGGTGTAAAGGTTTGCGTATTTCCTGAAGAATGTATTAGAAAGTTGCCTTGAATTTGAAGCTGTTAAAATTATATTGTTACGTGCTGCTTCAATCAGGCAGCCTTTAATGACACTCTTTATAATCAAAATCTGATGTAATTAAGTAACGGAATTGGCGATTTGTGATCATACACGAGAATTAATAATTGTATTGAGATAAATTTTATCCTGATTTTTTTCGCAGGTAAATGAAATGTTATCGGTATGTTCCTGATTATTACCTAAAAATTTATGAGCAAAAAGTTTTCTAATTCCTCAATGTTCATGAAGATTTTTCGACCAAAAACAAAACTTATACGTGTGAAAAATTCATTAAAAATATGAATATGGAAGGCAATATTAAGTTATTTCATACAAACTTCCGCTTCACTCCCGAAATTCCCTTTCTAGTCGCAACTGCTCGTTAAGTGCGAAATGCGTAGCATAATCCTTCAATATTGATAAACTATTCATTTAGCTATCATAAAACAATATAATGTAAGCAACGGATGCTAATTAAATTATTTGCAAAATTCAACTCATACTACAAACGAAAAAGAAAGTGTGTTAGTTAAAGTAATTGAAGCAATTGCCTAAGAATTTTGCGTTGGCGTTTAACGAGTTTTCAACTGTATTTGTTCATAACTAACGAAAGAAGGAAGTGCCTCAGGCAAATGCTAATGTGTTTGCGAAGTTTCCATTACCGGTGGTCTACTGTCGTCACCAGGTCATTAGGTACGAACTGCATTGATGTCTATAGGTGTGACCCTAGAAAAAATAATAAACTATGTGTATTTACTCCTAGCCAGTATAGGCGTTATTAAAGCATTTTGGTTTGATGATGTAAACATTTTAAAATGGCGTTCCTTCACTCGTTTTACAGGTTAGGCCGTTCGTTACACACACATTCGTTTACATTTCTGTCAATGGCGATCAATTTAATTTGCGATATAAGCAACCGAAATTTTGAGTCAAATCTCCTAGGACGTCCTTGCCACGGCGGCTGAATTCGATCTTGTTTAACGCATTTTCTCATTTATGAAAAAATGCACTATTGTGCTCGCCATGTCCGTCTGTCCGTCCGTCTGTCCGTCTATTTGTCCGTCCGTGACTTCATGTTTTCATCGACGAGAAAATGCGCTCTCTGTCACTTACTGCATTGAGTACTGAGTTATATTTTTTTAATATACACTCCGTAAGGAAGACATGGCCTGCTGCATAGCCTTAGTCTCGGTATACGAAGTACTTAGATGAGTCAAAGCTGCCGATAGGAAACTAAAACATTTTAAATTTATAAATTGCCACATAATCCCTCATATAACCCATATTAACCCCTCCCACAATCTCTCACATTTATAATCGAAATCTATAATATCATATTTTATAATTATAAGCCTATAAAAATGAAACCTCCTAGTTATCCTGTGCAGGATAGATTATTACGCAGCATTGAGGTTCCGACGAAGCATGCACTTGAAACTGAGTTCTCCAAAACTTATATGACCTCTTTAGTAGGTTATCACCATTTAAATAACGATTGAAATCTTACTTAATCATTGGTACAATGTTTAATATTAACCTAATCACAAAAAGGACTCATTGTAAATCTGGTATTAACTATACTAGTCGCTAGCAGGTTAACCCAGCTATGATCGGGGTAATCCCTCAGATTCAGGAATGTTGTTTCTCTAAATCTTCTTGTCTCGAACCACGTTGTAAATTTTCGAACTTTATTGATGTTGATAAGAGAAAGACCTGTTCAGGCTCAACTCTAAGAAATAATTCTCATCTAACTCACATTTCGAAGTTTGAAAAATTGAATTTATCATCTTTTAACAGTACTAAAATTAAATTTGCTTCATCAAAGTCAAAAGTTACATTTACATCACAGCCCTTCTTCCCTATTTTTTGCTAGTCCAACTAAAATCCCGACACGAGATGTATCCTAGATACACGCCCCAACAGCCCCTATATATTGCGGCGCCATAAGTATCCTGGATACGCGCCCCAACAGCCCCTATATATTGCGGCGCCATAAGTATCCTGGATACGCGCCCCAACAGCCTCTATATATTGCGGCGCCATAAGTATCCTGGATACGCGCCCCAACAGCCACTATATATTGCGGAGCCATAAGTATCCTGGATACGTGCCCCAACAGCCCCTATATCTTTACGCTATCAAGCTTCAAACAAATACAAACAGAGACAAATATTCATGCATGAAAAAGATATTAATACTATTCCAGGCGGTGCTATGCTGTCTCGTGGTGATGGTTGCCGCCATACCTGATGGCGGGTACAACGCTCCCGCCGCCGGCGGCTTCGGTGGCAATCAACTTGGCGGTGGTGGATTTGGCGGCGGTCAACACGCCGGTGGTGGATTTGGTGGTGGTCAACTCGGCGGTGGTGGATTCGGTGGCAACAAAGGTGGCGGTGGAAGTGGAGGATTTGGAGGTGGCCAGCACGGTGGCGGTGGATTTGGTGGCATCAAAGGTGGTGGTGGCGGATTTGGAGGTGGCCAGCACGGCGGTGGTGGATTCGGTGGCAACATAGGTGGCGATAGCGGATTTGGCGGTAACCAGATCAGCGGCGGTGGATTTGGAGGAATTAAAGCTGGTGGCGGTCACCTAGGAGGCGGTGAATTCGGTGGCAACAAAGGTGGCGATGGTGGATTTGGCGGTGACCAGCTCGGCGGTGGCGGATTTGCAGCGGGTGGTGGACAACTTGAGGGTGGATTTGCTGGAGGAAAAGGTGGTGGTGGTGGCGGCTTTGGAGGTGGTCTAGGCGGCGGATATGAAGAACCTCAACATGCTGACGTGAGTCCTCGGTATTGCTTTCTGGCAATAAAACCTTTTAACCTTGCCAGGTCAGAGCAGTTAACTCTTGTAAATATAACCAACCATTACCAACCCCATTCCCAGACCAGCGGTTATTGGGGAACAATGCAAGCCTACCCATTAGCATTGTAGTTATAATGTATAATGGGATAAAGGCGACTGTCTTTCACGAGTGCTATAGACTGACTTTAGGCTCAGTCACATTAGGCTCAGCCACATTAGGCTCAGTCACATTAGGCTCAGCCACATTAGGCTCAGTCACATTAGGCTCAGTCACCTTAGGCTCAGTCACCTTAGATTCAGTCACCTTAGGCTCAGTCACATTAGGCTCAGTCGCATTAGGCTCAGTCACATTAGGCTCAGTCACATTAGGCTCAGTCACATTAGGCTCAGTCACCTTAGGCTCAGTCACATTAGGCTCAGTCGCATTAGGCTCAGTCGCATTAGGCTCAGTCACATTAGGCTCAGTCACATTAGGCTCAGTCACATTAAGCTCAGTCACATTAAGCTCAGTCATATTATGCTCAGTCACATTAGGCTCCGTCACATTAGGCTCAGCCACATTAGGCTAAGACCAAGTATTACAATCAACTTAACTGCATAACTTGCCGAGCAACCACTTCTAGTGAATTATAATTGCTAATAAAAATGAGACCATTTGTTCGTGTTCTAACTTGTCTAAAGTTTAATATGTTTATTCAATATGAGGTAGTTTTGTTTACGTAGAACCTGCACTGTTCTTCAGAACCATGCGCCCTACGCCTCTAATAAAGTATTAGTTATAAAGAAAGAGATCATTTGTGTTTCAGTTTGGTTATGGTTTCATATGTATACATTAGGGCGGTTTTATTGCATTACTGACTCTTGCAGAGTTACAATTTCGGCTAAACAATATTCATTGAAAAAAACAAGAATGTTATGTTCAGCCTAGTTATAGTTTGGCATGCATATATTGTGGACGTTTAGTATACGCAGAAGCAGTTATTTGTGTTTTAGCTTGGTCATAGTTTCGTATGTATATACATTTTGATTGTTTCAGCCATGATTATAGTTTCATATGCATATATTCATACCATTAAATAGTTATATTTTCGTATGCATATATCCCTACCATAAATAGAGTTTTAATTTCGTATGCATATATTCGTACCATAAATAGAGTTATAGTTTCGTATGCATATATTCCTACCATAATAGAGTTTTATAGTTACGTATGCATATATTCCTACCATAATATACTTATAGTTTCATATGCATATATTCTTTCCGTTAGACAGTTATAGTTTCATATGCACATATTCTTACCATTATATAGCTATACTTTCATATGCATATATTCGTACCATTATATATTGTTTCGTATGCACATATTCTTACCATTATATTGTTATAGTTTCAAATGCATATATTCATAACACATTACAGACTCCTGCAAGTTACAGCTTCGACTACAAGGTTCAGGACGACCACTACGGCGGTAACTACGGTCACTCCGAGCAGCGTGAAGGGTACCAGACACAAGGCACTTACTACGTCAGTCTCCCCGACGGCCGTACGCAGACCGTCACATACACGGCCGACGAACACGGTTACCATCCACAAGTTTCGTACGAGGGGGAGGCACAATACGGTCCCCCCGCGGGGGGATATGCTGGGGGTAAGTACATCAATAGTTAGTTAGCTTAGTTAGTACAGGAATAAATATTAGTTAGTCTAATATTTCTTCGGATCAGTGAATTTGTGTCTCTACTTATTGAGGTAGCACGGGAGAATGAGGAGAATGTTAAAAGAGACGAAGATTCGATCGTCACTGAATTGTTTTGTTATAATATTTCAGGAGGTGAAGATTCGATCATTACTGAATTGTTTTGTTATAATATTTCAAAAGGTGAAGATTCGATCATCACTGAATTGAATTGTTATAATATTTCAAAAGTTGAAGATTCGATCATTACTGAATTGATTTGTTATAATATTTCAAAAGGTGAAGATTTGATCACTACTGAATTGAATTGTTATAATATTTCAAAAAGTGATCGAAGATTCGATCATAACTGAATTCAATTGTTATAATATTTCAATATGTGAAGATTCGATCATCACTAAATAGCTCGTTAAATAAAAATTACATTTTGTTGAGAAGATTCCTTCAACGCTGAATGACTCGGTTAATAGCCACGTCCACCGCCTATGAAAAAGTATTATTCGCGTATTATTCTTTATGATGGCTATTACGCTTGAATATTAAAATTTTTATATGAATAAGTTGTCGATATTAACTCTGTTCCGAAGCCTCTGGCCTCATGGCAAAAGCTGCTGCATAAATTCTGAATGCGAGATAAATTAATCTGATTAATTAATCTGATCTGATTAAGAGTAACTAATTAAATAATTAATCTGAATGGATAGAAGCATGGAAATTCTATTAGAATTATTGACGCTTTGTGAATTAAAGCACGAATTACTTACAGTGATATTAAGAGAGTGTATTTTTTATTCAAAAATTAAACAAAAATTATTATTACATGGCACATTAAAGCATACATTTTAAAAGGCCTCCCACACTCACCATTCCAACAAAAAAAATTGGTTTTATTAATTAAAAACAGATTAAACAAAGCATACATTGCTCCTGAGGAATTGATTTAATTAGAAAATACTACTCGGAGTTGACTCTGCGGAGGGTCACAAATTGAAGGAGAACATGTATGTAATTAATGGGTACAAGTATGTATTTAATAAGCATATATGTGTATTTAATGTGTACATAAATGTATTTTATGCACATGTGTATATTTAATGTGTACGTAAATGTATTTAATATGCACATGTATGTATTGAATGTATACGTGTATGTATTGAATGTGTACGTGTATGCATTGAATGTGTACATGTATGTATTGAATATGTACCTGAATATGTCTAATGTCTACATGTATATATCTAATGTCTACATGTATATATCTATTGTGTACATGTATATATCTAATGTGTATAAGCAAGGATTAATGAGTACAAGGATGTATTTAATGTGTACATCAACTCACAAATTTTAATTGGTCAATGTTCTGATAAATGATCTGTGATCTAACTGTCGACGTTATAACAAATTTCTGTTTCCAAATAAGATTTTTGTTTGCTGTATTTGCAAATACAGCATAAATAGCTGTTTTACAAATTTGTATAAATAACACATTTCTGTTTCCAAAAAAAAATGTTTGCTGTGTTTACAAACGAATTTGTAAAAACAGCACAAAACGCTTAAAACGCTTAATTTTTTCAGGCCAGGGAGCTGGCTTTAGTGGGGCAGCCGGTGGATTACAAGGTGGCGGTGAAATCGTTGGTCAGCAAGGCGGATTTGGAGGACAAAAGGGTGGATTTGCTGGTGAGCAAGGCGGATTTGGAGGACAAAAAGGCGGATTTGCTGGGCAACAAGGCGGATTTGGAGGACAAGAAATTGGATTCGGCGGACAGAAGGGTGGATTCGCTGGTCAGCAAGGCGGATTTGAAGGACAGAAGGGCGGATTTGGTGGCCAACAAGGCGGATTTGGTGGACAAGAAGGCGGATTTGGTGGACAGAAGGGTGGATTTGGTGGACAACAAGGAGGATTTGGAAGACAAAAAGGTGGATTCGGTGGACAGAAGGGTGGATTCGCTGAACAGCAAGGCGGATTTGGAGGACAAAAGGGTGGATTTGCTGGTGAACAAGGCGGATTTGGAGGACAGAAGGGCGGATTTGGTGGTCAACAAGGTGGATTTGGAGGACAACAAGGATTATTTGGAGGACAAGAAAGTGGATTTGGTGGCCAACAAGGCGGATTTGGTGGTCAAAAAGGAGGATTCGGTGGCCAGCAAGGAGGATTAGACGATGATTTCCAGGGAGGATTTGAAGCATCGCAAGGTGGATTTATCGGCGAGCAGGGTGGATTTGGAGGACAAAAGGGTGGATTTAGTGGCCAGCAAAGCGGATTCGGTGGACAAAAAGGTGGATTTGGAGGTCAGCAAGGCTATAACTAAAACCAAATGATATTTATTCTTCGTGATTTGATGTTTTTCATGTGAAGATCGCTTAATATTGTACGTTCGAACGAATTAACGTGTTTTAACATTCGTTCCCAAACGAGTTAACGACGCATAGATCTTTCATGGTGCTTGTGTTTTTGCCTTTTTTGTTATGTTAACGCTTCATATTTTATTGCTTCAAAAGACACTCGCTCGAGCCGCTGCGAGAAATGAAACAACCGCATACATGAAGTGTTTTTTTACTCCCTGAAATATTACTGCACATTATTATATTTAGAATTCGTTATGATGAATAGTTTTCAAATGACTAGTACTACTGCCGCTTTTGGACCCTGGGAACTAGTAATTCAACTATTTATAATTCGAGAGTATAGTAATAATTACGAAGAATGCTGCTAGTACAATAGAACATTATTAATTCAAGAGCATATGTTGAAACAAGGTGACTAATTATGATATTAAGATTATTAGTCCATAAGGGATAACTTTGACATGTAACACTAATGAGAAATGTAGTTCGTGGTACGTTAGTTAACAAACCAAAGTAATGGATGAGCAGCAGCACTAATTTGAAGTGTAGTATTTGGTACTTTAGTACACCATCTCGACGAATTAATTAGTCTCAACACAAATCTGAGGTATTAGCTGATTTATTTTAAGGATCTTAATGCCGTACTCCCTTGATAAATGCGCTTGCACTCACGCAAGAAACTATTAACGTCAAATTAACATCGCGGAAGCAATAATTGAAGGTCAATATTCATCATTTTACTTCCCGATAGTCGATGTATTGCCTGGATTGTTTATAAGAATTTGGCGCTAGCGCCATAATTGCGTGACTTTGATATGTAAATTATTGGTATAGGTTAGGAGACTAGCCTTGAACTGGACATAGTGATATAGTGTTCGCTAGTGACCGGGTGTTCGCTAGTAACCGAGTGTTCGCTAGTGACCGAGTGTTCGCTAGTGACCGAGTGTTCGCTAGTGACCGAGTGTTCGCTAGTGACCAAATGTTCGCTAGTGACCGAGTGTTCGCTACTAACCGAGTGTTCGCTAGTGACCGAGTGTTCGCTAGTGACTGAGTATTCGCTAGTGACTGAGTGTTCGCTAGTGACTGAGTGTTCGCTAGTGACTGAGAGTTCGCTAGTGACCGAGTGTTCGCTAGTGACCGAGTGTTCGCTAGTGACCGAGTGTTCGCTAGTGACCAAATGTTCGCTAGTAACCGAGTGTTCGCTAGTGACCGAGTGTTCGATGGTGACCGAGTGTTCGCTAGTGACCGAGTGTTCGCTAGTGGCCGAGTGTTCGCTACAGTGACCGCTATATTGACGTAATTTACTTGACACGGCTCTAAGTTAGAAGAAAATAGAAATAAAGCCAAATAATGAGCAAACATATAAATCAACATATGCAACAATTATAAACTCTCCATCAATATAGAAGGCTGTGAGCTACAAATAGAACATCCAATTAGTTAAAAAATTATTAGATAATACTAGAAAACGAGGCTGTGAAACCTAGTAAGATCAATTCACCGATGTTGTCAGATGATGTAGGTATAAAAAGCTTCACTCAGAAAAATTAGCGATACTTTGCACAAATAGCGATGCACTTTTTCCCCTTGTGTATATATAGGTTAGCCTGACCAAGTTTTGCTCGTCAAATGCACAACTCTCTGCTCGTACGGTGGGTGTGAAAGTGTGTCACTATTTGAACAATGACCAGGGCCTATACTTTAAAAAAAAACTTAAGAGATCGTAAGTTCATCAGCCAATCATTGACGGCCTTTCAAGCAAAATCCACCAATCATAAAAAAGAAAATAGAGCGTAAGTACTTACGTTCACTTAGCTAGTTTTGAAAGTATGGCCCCCGGTCATTTTTCTTAGAGTTTTGTAAAATGAAATACTAACGCATGCAACGCCTACCAAGCATTTTTTACTGACGCTAGTGCAGATCGGCAAACGGTTTTATTCGATCAAAAATGTTCGGAAACTTGCAAAAAACGCTCATGCTTACGAAACATAAGCTTGTGATTTCACATTCACGGATTTCACATTCTTGTGATTTCACATTCTCAACATTCAACGACCTCCTCAGCAGGGCAATCGAATTGTCTCTCAATCAATCTTTGAGCAGAAATCACCGTGAATATTGTCATTGCAAAAAAATGTATAATTTTTAGGTTTAACTTTAAAATTATTACTAGCAGCGAACCCTTTCTGCAGTCACAAAATTCTGGTCGGGTGCAGAACGGTTTAAAATGCTTGCAAAGAGAGTTCGCACATCATGACGAATGATTTTAAAATATAAAAATCTCTTCATATGTATTTGAAAATGCTCCCGTTTTCTTAAAAGGCTTCATTATTTAGAAGTTTCTTATGATGGACAGGGAGCTCATGAAGTTGACGCGAGATTAAATTTCAAACTTATTTGTATCAAACATTTACGGTTACAATAAAAAAATATAACTCAGTACTCACTGCAGTGAGTGACAGAGAGCGCATTTTCTCGTCGACGAAAATGTGACGTCACGGACGGACAGACGGACGGACATGGCGAGCACATAGCGCTTTTTTTCGTAAATGAGAAAATGCGCTAAAATCACTGTGCTAGTAATGTCTTCTTGTTCTCATTGTATTAAAAATTGTAATACTATTTTTAATCGAACTTATTACTTTTTGTTCTAAATAATAACTTTTCTACTTGCTCTCAGAGAATTTTTTCCATCACATTTTGTTATCAAACCTTTTCTCATTCCTATTATAGAACCATTCCTGAGCTCTTTCTACTAAAATTTACTTTTCAAAACCTTAATAAAAATATGTTGTCTCTCTTCTAAATTTGTATTTATCACACTTCCATTCTTTAACCAACTTTTTCACCTATTTTATATTTTATTTTATTTCTTGTCTATAAATTCGTGTTCAAATTAATTCTCTTAAAATTCATTCAAACAAAGTTCATCCTCCAATCATTCTTCCCGGTATTTCAGAAGTAACGTTACATTTTATGTCTATTTTCGTCTGCGGAATAAAATATTTAATCCAAATTAAATTCATTTGTCCTCTTGCGGCCACAAAATTGTTGAATTAAGTGTTAAATTATTGGTAAATTGTTGAATTAAGTGCATATTTTCATGCAAGTCAATTAACCTTCGTGTTAGGAGGCCAGAAATTGTGTGAAGGCCGCACGTATTGCAGGCCACTCATAGATAAGAAAGTATATTAGGAAGTGTATAGGCGTATTGATTAGTGTGTAGGCGTATTGATTAGTGTGTAGGCGTATTGATTAGTGTGTAGGCGTATTGATTAGTGTGTATGCCTATTGATTAGTGTGTAGGCGTATTGATAAGTGTGTATGCCTATTGATTAGTGTGTAGGCGTATTGATAAGTGTGTATGCCTATTGATTAGTGTGTAGGCGTATTGACTAGTGTGTAGGCGTATTGACTAGTGTGTAGGCGTATTGACTAGTGTGTAGGCGTATTGACTAGTGTGTAGGCGTATTGATAAGTGTATATGCCTATTGATTGGTGTGTGGGTTGGGGTTTAATGGAGAGAAGAGGGAACCTGTCGTGCTGGGCTTCGTGAGTAACAATGAGCGGTAGATCATTGTTTATTATCACTAATTTTCTGCATTTTTGAACCACTTTTTGAAAACAAAGATGACTTTAACTTCCTATAACCATAGGCGCATGCTTTGGAAGAACACATACTAGAAATAGTTATATTGATTAGTATGTCTGTGTACAAGATAAGTACACGATAAATAAGTAATAATTAAAGTATTAAATAATAAGAACACGATAAATGTGAACGCGTACTGGGAAGCCATATAGCGAGGCGGTTTGAGGAAACGGTTGCCTGCTTCTCATGGCGGCGTGAAGCTGATTTGGACGTCCGACAAAGAACTTCCTCAAGTAAATTCTAAATTCAGAGAGCAAAGAACCAAATTTAAGTTCTTTATTTTCGAGAGATATAAAACACTTTAAATATTAATGGTTGTAATCCGGAATACGTCCAAAATTCGCTCAAGCGAGGAAACTGTAACGAACATTTTACCGCCTGCACGTCTCTCGAGGTTATATTTTAAAGAAACCGTGCTGGATTTTATGCACAATCACGGTTGTAAGTTGTTCAGTAGTGTCCAAGTTTGAATTTTTCATTCTATAAATTGTTGTTCAATATGTCGAGTAGTGCATAACTCTGCGAAAATTACAGCAGAATATATGGGGGTGCCCTTTTTTAATTATGATCAGGAAAGATATGCAAACGATTAAATCGTGTCGATTTTGATGATATCCAGGGGCTCATGCATTAACAATTTAAAAAAAATTGATTCTGACGTGAGAATGGATTGTTAGGGATCGGGATGGGTTAATGGATTGGAAAATTATTGAAATGATTAATAATATAGAGTAATCATCTTGAATCTAAAAGTATTTGGCAAGGAAAATGAAGTAAAATCAAGAATCCTATTCGTGTGTTTCTCAATAGAATTACTTACTTACTGCCCGCTATGTCGGTCGGCGCGTAAGGCAGCTTCATCTGAAGGCTTTAAACCAAAATTATCATGAATTTGATTTAATCTGAAATGAAATTTGGCGCTGATACATAAATAACTAGCCCAAAAAAATGCATCCATTCATATTGCACTTCATTCATGGGCTCATTATATTCATCTTCTTTGAGGAAAAAGCAAGAAAATTTTCAATTGCGTTTTTAGCGCATTTCCTCATTTATGGAAAAAATGTACTATTGTGCTCGCCATGTCCGTTCGTCCATCTGTCCGTCTGTCTGTCCGTCTATCTGTCGGTCCGTCCGTGACCTCAAGTTTTCGTGGACGAGAAAATGCGCTCTCTGTCACTCACTGCAGTGAGTGCTGAGTTATATTTTTTAAAGGCTTTACGCATCAGGTATAACTTATAAAATATTTTCATGCCCTCTGCTTGTGAACAGTTCTACGTTTTTCAGGTTCGAAGATCAACATTTAAAAATTTATAAACCACTCTAGGTTGTCGTCTACGGGACTATTAATACTCAAGATTTACTTTCACATGCCTGCGATGCTGGCGAAGTGAGTTGTCTTGACCATTAAACTGTAATAAATAGAATTTAAATGAAACATTGTAACGCAATTGTGAAGGCCGATCATGAATCCATTTATCGTGCCTTTTCACCATGAGGTATTTGCCGTATTACCGTGCCATTGGTGCTTTGTAAAGTCATGTATGCAAGTAAAACAATTTTCTTCTGCATTCCAATGCATTGTGTGTGATGACCCAAGGAGGTCACCTCCACTCATAAGCAGAGGCGTGGTCAGAATTTAGTTAATATCGCACAAATTTAACCTAACCTGATCATATTCAGACATTGCGACTCAATAGAAACTCTAATTCCTATTTAATTCTCGTGCGGCCTTCAAGGTTACATGCATTCTTTAGCCCAAGCCACCAGCATCTGTACTGAGGTCTTGATATTAATTGACTGGAAACATGGACTTAAATGCAGGGGCTAACTAAACTATAAAACCCAGGCTGGTTGCCTCACTCAAGCACTTCGACTGCGAACCGACCCGAGACAACCTACTTTCGACATGCTTTCTGTGAGTGCCTAGTGCAAGCATCTTAAAACTTCTTGATGATTTTCATCATCTATTCGTATTCAGGTTCTAATTTTATATAGGAGTGGTGAAAGTGGATGTCCCTGATAACTAATAAGGAATTGATTATAGGAGTTACTCATGTGGTACTAGTGGAAGATACACTAAGTTATCTATATATACGTACAAAAAAGAATGGACTGCTATAGTAATCATGGAACTCCTAAATTTTGACAATTATGTAAATTAATTTCCCTTTTGAATATTTTTAAGTGAGACGTTTGTCTTGCAAAAAGTAAAATTAGCTTTGCTATTTTCACAATTTGTAATATTTTATGGAGCGTTGACTATTGACCTTTTTCCGACTATCAAATTATAAAATAATCAATACAATTTTACATCACAATATGACTGTTATAATAATATTGTTCTAACATTATTACCACATATATTACATATATTGTCGCACGTTTACTATTTCTAATAGTTACATTTCATGTTTTCATGAAGGCTCTTTGTTATTTAAAAGGTTTTGAGTTGCGTCCTCCTGGCCGCCATGGCCTCCGCACGGCCAGAGGGCGGCCATTCTAAAGCCATTCTTCATCATCCCAGCCTCTTTGCTGGCCACCGTGGACAAAACTCTGGCTTTGGCCAAGAATACTTCGGCCATGAATCTCGTCATCAAGCTGGCCATCAGTCCTTCAGCCATCATGACGTGGCCCATCAAAGTCTTGGCCACCGAAATTTTGGTCACCAGAGTATAGGACAGCACGGAGGATACGAAGCCCCTGTCCGTCATGGAGGATATGGAGCTCCTGTCCATCATGGAGGATACGAAGGACCTGTCCACCATGGAGGATACGAAGGACCTGTCCGTCACGGAGGATATGGTCCTGACCATCACGACGACCATTACGTAAGTTGCCACTCGAAAACAAAATCGTAAAAATTTATCCTAATCCAGTTTTCAAAGAAAAATTTTCCTTGCTTACAAATAAATAAAACATTACCATTACACAACAAAACATTTTTTTAACAAATAAATAAAATGTTACCAGGACACAATCAACCCTAATTTTTACACAGCACAATTAATTGCTAACAATTTCACCACGTAGCAATCCAGTCCAATTTCACTCTGGCGCAACAAGTTTACACTCCACTAACCAACATAACTTTACAACTTGACAGAATTTGTCATTCCTACGGCAAATTTTCCAGGATAAATGTTATTATATTATTCGTACGGCAGGTGAACAAGGACTACGGCTTCGAGTATACGGTTCAGGATCCGTATTCCGGCGCTGAACACGGCCACACGGAGCAGCGTGACGGTTACGTCACAAAGGGCGCGTACTTCGTCGACCTTCCAGACGGTCGACGTCAGACCGTAACATACACGGCTGACGAATACGGTTACCATCCAGTCGTGACGTACGACGGGGAGGCTAACTACGATGTCCATGCCGGTCACGGTAATAGTTACGAAGATGTTGGTAATCAGTATCTTCGTCCGCATCACCTTCAGTCCGTGTACCAGTAATTATCAGTCACGATAATAGTTACGAAGATGTTGGTAATCAGTATCTTCGTCCGCATCACCTTCAGTCCGTGTGCCAGTAATTATGAACGCTGTACTCCTGGGCCTATACTTTCAAAAAAGTTAAGAGATCGTAAGTTCATCAGCCAATCATTGACGGCCTTTCAAGCAAAATCCACCAATAATAGACAAGAAAATAGAGCGTAAGAACTTACGTCCACTTAGCAAGTTTTGAAAGTATGGCCCCTGAACTCCACTTTTGAAGTTCGTTAAATACACAGAGAAATATGTAAGACTTTGTCCAAGTCGCGATGTGTTTTTTGTTCTTTGTGGATCATATTGGCCGAGTTTGGCTACACAAAATTGAATATCAGTGCCTCGTCTGCTCTTGGCTCGTGCAGTTGTGGGTTAGAAAATGTGTCACAATTTGGACAATATCGCCCGTCCATTTTTATGATTGAAATTTGCTGAATCAGTTTTGTCACATAGGGCTATGCAATTTTTGGTTCAGCGCTGACAGTTTGATCGATGCTAGTAAATTTGGTTCATGGTAAGGGCGATGTTTTCGTACGTGTATGTAAGATATTTTCCTCTGAATTATAAATAAGTTAAATAGCTTCATTTTTTTGTATGATGTTTCGCATTGTACACAGGCGAATCACGGTGTAAAATTGAGTTTTCACTGCATGGTTCCCCGCGCTATCCTTCAAGAGAACATAATTTATTGAAACTTTCTGTGTAAGTTTGCATGTTTTATATTCAAAATGCAGCTATTTATTATATCAATCGTGAAGTTTAAACGACGTGTTTTTCTACCTAACTCCTGCATATAGAATTCATAGATTGTATCTTAATAGCATTCATCAATAAAACGTCCTTACTCACTATAGTATTGAGAATAATATACAAAACGACAAATTTACTACAGACTTAGCTTTAACCACTTACCTCAACATGGAGTAACGATTAAATTGCAGGGTAAATTTGATTAATTTAATTAATTTAATGATTGAATAATGAACACGATTAATGCCTTCAAAATATTATCAATGCGATTAATTTAGTCGGTGAATTGATTCAACTGAATTAGTCAGTTGAATTAAAATCAATTCGTTCATTAGGGTTGGAAGCAAGCTGCAGTGAAAATAGAGACTTTTTATTCAGGAAGATGTTTTGAAATAAGAAAAATAATATGCTGCAATTAATAATATCTCTTAGTAAAGCTTAATGAACAACCTGGAAAAGTTGACACAAACCAAGTTTAATTGTCTAGCAGATACGAACCAAAGTGCAGTCATTGATCAACTTATATTTATTTTATTTTAAATGTTCTTGGTGAAATTTTAAGAAGTTTTTCACGTATTTCACGTAACTGGAGTTCAATAATTTTTTGGATGACGTTAGTAGATAAAAAATACAGGTTTCAGCTTTTAATTTTAATATATTAACGAAGTTTCGAGTACAACAACCTTAATTTTCGACTTCTGAGAAACACCGAATAATGAAATTTTGGTGGACAAAAGTTAATCATACACTTAAACAATAAACAACTCAAAAATTGTATATAGCAAATTTCTTTGAAAGCAATCTGACAGGTCTGACAAATGTGGTAGTTAATACTATAGATTGATAGATTGAGTGTAATTCTTAGAGCTGAAGGCTTCTGCTTCCACAATGACCTGGGAAGGTTATAAATCGAACTTTGTATAAACAAGCAAATTCGTGCATCTAATTCTAATTTTGAAAATTATTTACGAAGCTGATGAGATCTCTCCAAATTTGCGTGAAAGTTACCAGTAAACGATTTAAAACATATGATCACTCGCTCGCTATTGGCTTTATTTCCAAATAAGTAATCGCCAGCTTTGAATTTCGAAGCTCAGTCCGCGCACAGCTAATTCAATAACTACATCGCTTAAACACAGCTTTTATAATTTGGTCAAAAGTTTGAAGCATATACATAATATTGTCTTCCAGGGGCTGATAACTTTAATCTCCAATATATTGAGGAATTATACTTTCAGGAGATAACCAAATGACTTCCGATCGTCTGCCCTTGAGTTACCTTATAATGATGGCCCTGGTGAGAACGGCCTTATACGCCGCCGTCTAATATTTATCTTTCCTCTAGAGAACCGGACGCTTTTCTCCAATTAAAAGGTGGCAGTTGAGGACGTTAGTCTGGCTTACGGAAGTTAATGGGATTATGTCATAACCCATTCAATGAATCAATATGAAAACAAAATCTTCGGTAGCCCCAGACATTTATCATTCAAGAAAATTATGTATTTAAATGATGAATACTACCAGTACTAATGACGAATAATTTTCATAAATGTAGGGAGTTCATCTGAGGCATTTCCTAATTTGTTCAATTTATATTAATAATATCCTCACCAAATGTAACTTAATTTTCAAATATTACTGTCGTTTCTCCTGTGTTACGGCTGTTTTTCATATCAGAATTTAAACATCATTTGTGTAAAGCGAAAGATTTACCTTATGCACGTCGTCCTTATTGGCATAAGATTTTTATAACCCACTTGTCGTTATAGATTTTGAGCACCCATAGCTCATGAATTCAAGTCATTCATAATCATGGTTGTTTATTTATTCAACGTTGGAACAACTTAATTTCGAGCCAAAAACCGTGCAGTTTTTTCCCTTAATAAATTTTTATATTTTCATAAATTTTCAATTTCATAATGGACTATTCTGAGACCAATTTAATACTGCACCTTCACTTTTTAACTCATAATTCAGATTTCACCCATGAAATATACCAATTAGCTATTATTAATTATTAAGTATATATTTTAATAATAGTTCGAGATCTCATCTCCCTTCAACCTCTGTACAGCGGATCGTACAGCCCATTGACCGGGTAGTATCCTAACTATTTTAGCCGTTTCTTCAAAAATATACCAATTATTAAACCAATTAAATTATACCAAATAAAATATACCAATTAGCTATTATTAATTATTAAGTATATATTTTAATAATAGTTCGAGATCTCATATCCCTTCAACCTCTGTACAGCGGATCGTACAGCCCATTGACCGGGTAGTATCCTAACTGAGCGGCTATTTTAGCCGTTTCTTCAACCCGTCCATCCGGTAACTGAATGTAGTAAGAGTTACCAGGCTGCACCCCGTACGGGTTGTAACCCAGACCGTTGTAGGCATTGTAACCTAGCCCGTTATGACCGAGCCCGTTATATCCGTGCCCGTTCAAGCCGAGTCCGTTGTAAGCCAGGCCGTTATAGCCGTTATAGCCGTTGTAGCCGTTGTGCAGAAGTCTGTTATTGAGGTCATAGAGTCCGTTGTGGTTGTGGTTGTACAGTTGGTGGTTAAGTGGCAGAGGCAGAACAGGGTTGTGCAGTGCACCATGGTGGCTTAGCTGTAAGTAAATGTGAATGAGTACAATTTTCATTTTTTAAATCAACATGGGAGTATTTTCACGTAATCGTTCATTTTAAAATAAAAGTAGGGGTAGGCAAGCAAATTATTTCCCGGGTAAATATATATTTTGTCACAAATAAGAAAATTATATGACGGGATTTTGCACTCTTTAAATGGCAAAAAATTCTATTACAGTCTAGAAAAATTCATAACGGACAAGAAAATTGTATCAAGAGCCAAAAAATTTTGTCGCTGGCAGAAAAATTGTGTCTCGACCAAGAAAACTGTGTCATGATCAAGAAAATTATGTAGCGATCATAAAAATCGCGTCATGAGCAAGAAAATGGTGTCGCGAGTATAAAAATTGTGTCGCGAGCATAAAAATTGCGTCATGAGCAAGAAAATGGTGTCGCGAGCATAAAAATTGTGTCGCGAGCATTAAAATTGTGTCTCTAGCATAAAAATTGTGTCGCGAGCATAAAAATTGTGTCGCTAGCATAAAAATTGTGTCGCGAGCATAAAAATTGTGTTGCGAGCATATAAATTGTGTCGCGAGCATAAAAATTGTGTCGTGAGCATAAAAATTGTGTCGTGATATAGAAAACTGTGTCTCGAGTATAAAAATTGTGTCGTGAACGTAAAAATGGTGTCATGATGAAGAAAAAACGTCGCGAGCATGAAAATTGTGTCGTAAAAACTGCCAACTGGCAGTACGCAAAACTCCTTATTTTTAGTTGATGACTCCTGTACAATAACCGTAACTTTAACAACGAACGGGGCAAGAGTAACGAACGAGGAACTGATAAAATAATGCGAATGAAGTCTTAGAATGGATTACATACGAGTTCCTAATTTAATATGCAACAACATACATTTTCACATGCATTTTCAAGTCAATAAAAATAATGTATGATAGTTGAACTTTGTACCAACTCTGAATTATATTTACGGACAGTGATTTACCCACGAAAATTTAATTTCAAAATAAGCGCATAAATTCTTAAATTAGCAAATTATTTAAAAATTGAGGGTTGTTATTGAATCACCTCATTCAGATTTCTCTCTTCATAATATATTATTCAGAAATGAAATTCCCCTTTTGACGTAGGAAAAAGTATCGTATTTAATTATACATATTCCATGTCACCCCACTGACAGGAAAGGCGCCGTGGGTGAGATGCTGGGCAGAAGGCATGGTCAGGAGTCTGGGGGAGTTGTGGTTGGGGTCCGTGAGTATGTGGGCTGCGTGGTGGGGGATAGACTTTGGGTGACCCTTCTTGGCTGGTGATGCCCCACCACCAGGGGAATACGTCACCACAACCAACATCACCATCCAACACCATCGTGATCTCTGCCAGATGAACATGTTTGAAGTGACTTCACATGAACACACACCGAAATATATATGAACACACACCGAAGGCTAAAAATTTACAAAGGCTAAAAATTTACAAGCGAATATTCAAAATTTACAACATATTTAGAATTTAAAAGCAAAGAAACAGTACAGTAATGACTGATGATGAAAAGGCGTGCATTAGACATGAAGTTGATACCCACACAAACCGAAGAAGCAATCAGAAGAAGTGAGAGAGAGTATAAATTGCTTATTTTTCTTATTGTTTATTCTGTGCTCCAATAACCAATTTAGCTTATTTAATTACTCACCATGGCAACGATACTGATGACACTTCTGAAAAATAATTGAATAATTTCCTAATAAATTCAATATTTGATTAGAAATTATTTTTTTAATGTTGGAAAAAAATCAGAACGAGCGAAATGAGGTAAACAATATAATTACAAATATAAGAGAGTGCCCTAGAAATATTTTCTATCGCGATCAGTTTTCTATCAGCAATACAAAAAACGATGACGGGATTGGCTCGTGTAAAACACCGGTCAATTTGCACAATCTCTAACGGAATGTTGTGACAAAATCTAAGGCTGCCAGATAGAGAGAGGTACAAGACTGTAAGAATACGACTTCTAACAACTAATAGAACCAAGTGTTATTGAAAAAGAATTTAGGGCTACTGGAACAGAACATAATGCTTCTGAACAGCTCTGACATGAATGACAAATGGAGCAGAACCTAAGGCTTCTGATTCTGAACAGGTCTTGGTACAAGAGAAACGAAACCTAAGGCCTCTGAAAAGGTCTTTTAGGGCAAGTGGAACATAACCTAAGAATCTAAGGGAAAAAGGAACTGAACCAAGGTTTCCGAACAGGTCTTGGGGAAAAGTGGAGCAGAACTTTTGGCTTTTGAACAGGTCTTGGGAAAATTGAAACAGAACCTAAGGTTTCTGAACGGGTTTTGGTCGAGTATAACAGAACCCAAGGTTTCTGAACGGATCTTAGAGCAAGTGGAAACAGGCTTTTGAACAGAGCGTTGAGCAAGTGGAACAAAACCTTACGAGACTGAAACCTAACTAAGGCTAATGAAAGCACCTAAAGAAACTAAAAACAACTTTACAACTGAAACAAAATCTATAGCTACAGAAACCAAACTTATAGCTGCTGCAAAAGAACTTAAGGCAGCTGAAACAGGACTTAGGCAACAGGAACAGATTTCTAGAGCGGTTAGAACAGGATTGAGGGCGGCTGGAATGGTAATGAGGACGGTGGGCACCTGCCTGACTTTATAACGGCAATCCGTAACACGTAATACCTACGTGACACTCATACACGCACGACCGACAACTCCTCAGTCCAAAATGTGCAAGAGAGAAAACTGTCCGCGGAGCTATGCAATACTTTGACCTCAACTGAGCAGCGCTAATGTCCAATATAATTAGAAACTGAATGAAACCGAATATTTTCGGTATTGGATTAATTATTAGTTATTACTGTGTAACTTGTGGTTGGATGCGAATAGCTTAACAAGTCAATGGATTACAAACAAGCAAAGCATAAAGATCTTACAAACGCTGATTTCTTTCATTTTAGTTCTAACATCACAAACAAGTTCAATATAAATGAGGCATGTTGGTTGCATCAAGGAGTTGATGGTTCAAGGTAATCATCTATCATTATGGGATGATAACACAAAAACTTAGCTATTTGAATTGAAATCTTTTCCATGAATCTTGATCACAATTATAAGTTATTTCTTCAAGTGCTTTGAAATCAAGCAAGTTCGGTCCAATTCATGGCTTTGCTCGTCTGTCCATAATCAATATCATAATGTCTAGACGCAACATGTGTAATGCTGAGCAGAGTACGTTTTTAAAATTTACACATGTACATCTGACCATATACTCCGCATAGCAGGTTTCAAGTAGATCGCTGGTGAGGTATGTACATTATACAACGTACACGTCGGTAGTAAGGTACTCTACATTGGACTTTTAGAATAACATGTAGTGTTGAAAACTAACATGGTTAGATTGGCAGCATACTAGCGTTCGCTATAGAATATACATAATATAGAATATTCATAATATAGAATATACATCCTATAGATTATGCATGTAGGAGTTCGCTATAGGATCTGAAATCGTTTTAAAAAAATTCTAAAAAATGTGCGTCTGACACAAATTGCGTGACGCGGTTGCCAAAGATCCGGAACGTGAGGCCAAAGTTGTTCGTCGTCACGAAAATGCGTAATTTGGTAACACGAAATGCATGACGTAAAGTTTGTTTTCTTGACGCTTCTTGGACTAAAAATTATTCAACAATGCTTGTGTGTTGACGTTGCAGTGCAATTGTTTTTGAACGATGAGTAAAAGCAAGTCGCTCAAATAGCCAACACTAGGGTAAATATTTTAATTTGGTTAATTCATGAACATTTATGCGCACAAATTTATTGCAGTATATCTGTTTTATTGCATAGTAAAAAAAATTTTTTTAAATGGCCATTAGTTGCAAATGAATAGCTAAATAAACATAGGAAAATTCATAATATTATTTTATATCTGAGAGGAGTATAAAAGAAAAGAATAAAAGCCAAACAAATTCGACTTGTGAGAAATATACTTGACTGAAAATTCAAAGAAAATTCCAAGCCTGGACGATAATTTTTAAAACACCGGGACTATTACTAGCCAGCCTTTCTTGATTTTGCGCACCTTTACATCATTTCTAGGAACTTAATTGACTCGAGTGAGATTACAAATAGGCTGTATTTCACTACAAATAATTTAACGACTATTTCATAATGAAATATAATTCAAGCTGTTATTTGTGTTTAGTAAAGCAAGCGTTTATATTCTACATAAATGCGAATAATTTTCAAAATCAATAACTTATATAGGAGCAACGAATTTTATTTGCATGCGTTGGAATGAAGCATGAGAAGAAAATACTTCGACCAGATTTTAGTACAAATAAATTAAGAATTTTTACCAAATTGCATAGAACTGTTACCTGATTGAGCCTCCTGTTATGCTGATCCTATTCTTGGATGAGGAAAGGAAAATTAATTAAGTTGTAGTTTTCGATGTCACTGCGATACGTTAAGTCGTTGACGCCAAACATCGTCAACGATCAGCGTTTTTTACGTCAGTTCGGTAAAGACGTTCACTTCCGACTTTCCCTGACGAGGCACTCCCTATAAAGGAAGTGTCGATACGTTGCGCTTTGCACTTTCTTTCCAATTTCCCACTAGGATTTCTAAGGACGATTCGATTAGAGATGCTCGTTGCTGACAAATTCTACGTAAATTCCATTTCCTTTTTATATTGAACGTACGGGTCATTTGTTGAGCCAATAATGAATTACAACAATGCATAAATGTTTCTTTATGAATAATTTGCGAAAAGTATAAATTTCTTGCTTATGATCTATTAAATAAAACTTTGGGACCGTTAATATTTTAGATGTTATAATCTATATAAGGTCGTAACGATGAGTCATCCATCGTAGCTAACGAATTTCTGTACAGAGTTTCAAAAAAGAAAATTTCCAAATGAGGAAATTCTAAGTGCGAGCCAAAATTAAACCGGATCAAGGCCTGATGTGTGAAAATATTATCGAACAGGTTTTAACTTTTCTTTGGAAAACTGTGTAAATATGACGCAGGGTGTGAACTCAAACATGCATCGATATAACACTAAATATGTCATATATAATATGGAAACGACATGCACAGTGGCGCAAGTTTTTGCTATAATGAAGAGCATACATTAATGGCGATGTATAAAGCACGGAGAATAATTAAACAGATAGTGTACACCACTGATTGTTCCCTCTAAACATCGGGCACTATATATAGAATAACTATATATTTGAAGGCTATATTGGAACACTATATAGAGAGCGTGAGATATCTTACTGCCAGCAAGTACGCATTCTACCACAGAATAAGAGTACTTCTGTACTTGTTTAGTATAGGTTCTTGCGATAGTAACTGCAACATCAGTAATAAGAGTTATATATATATATATACTGCCAAGTCAGCAATACAGCAATTAGCATTAAACTTCCACCTGACCTTCGTTCCTTCCTTTCTCAAAGTTTAACAACCGCATTAACGCGTCCTAAGATTTTCAATTTGTTTTTTAATTTATTAGCAACAAATTGAATGGACATCTATCCAAGGTTACTGATAATTTGCAGTTTTTATATGACCAACTAAAGAAGATTCACGAACACCTTTAATCGAGGGCGACATAATTCCTAACGTAGAACACATTTCTTAAACTAGACTCCATCTGTACTGTTTTTTATTTAATATTTATTAATCTGCATTGCAGCCAACTCTTAAAGCCTTGGGAGGAATCATGGTCAATGGAGCATTTTAAGAATTTAGTTTTACGGTAAAATGGGTAGAAATAAATAACTTTTGGTATCCTGAGTATATAATTAAGTGTGCTTTCTCAAATTAATTTCAATTTCAAATAAATTCAAAAATAATTAGTAGATAATTGTAATAATAATTAGTAAAGAATTATGGTAATAATTAGTAACTAATTAGAACGTTGCATTAAAATTAGTAAAAAAATTATAATATTGATTAGTAAATAATAATAAATTATTGCAAATCGTGAAAATCGTACACCTTCGAGGGATGAATGTTCAGCAGTCGAGCTTGATAAGCTGTAAATTATACTTTTATTAACATCGGTGATGGCTAAACTGAAATGCCGTTCAATACAGAAAAAACTAATTCATCATCTCTAGTCATTGTTATGAATCTTTTTCGCGCACATTAATGTTTTGTATCTCGACATTTTATGACAGATTTCATATAAGAATGATAATGAACCGAGAACGCAGGTACTCTCGACTGAATCTAAGATATATATGTATTTGCGTAATTGGTTTTATAGAAATTCTTTAGAGAAACCGAATGAAAGGATGTTAGTGTCAACATAAATTCTGTTATTCTCAATACTTTGGCTGATGAATTTGTCCATGATGATTTATGAAACTAGTATCCTCTCGCTAGACCATAAATTTTTTCAATGCCTTCAGAATCAAACAAGCTAAAACAATAGATGCTTACGATCGCAACATAATTGTTGGTGTTTCTGGCAAATTATTATCAATGTTTAAAGTTGCATAGATCTTCGTCCGTTATCCACTATAATCTGCATTAGTTAGCCTTAGAGCCTTTAGCCTTTACATAATAAAAGAGCCCTTTGTTCATCAGTAATCCTGTACCAATTTTACCGCTGGTATATTACCAGTGTAAGCATAAAAAATTATTTGTGATAGACTGATAGGCATGTTATTGAAGAAAGTAATGGACGAAACATGCTGCAATCGAATAGTCAGAAAT